CATGGTTCGGAAAATGTCAAATAAAATCTATAAGAAGCTCTATTTTGTCTCATTTGATTGATACTGGTCATCAAGTGGACAAAAGTAGTGCTCTCAAAGTTATCTGTCGCATACCATCGAGCCTCTCGGACGGAATTCGAATCCGTCTTTTACACATAGTCGAAGCTATGGGAATTAATTCGAGAGAACAATCCAAGTCTTTGCATACAAAAGAAGTTTGTTCTACCTTTGTCTCTCCCTTGCTTGGCCTAGGTGAATTCTATTTAAAATCCTCCCACCTTCTCTTATTTTCCATCTCCTTCATTTTTTATGTGATTTATTTAGTGTGATTATCTGTCCACTTGGGCCTTAGTATTACGTAACTTTTAAGATTTGACAACATTTATTTATTGAATTGTCTACATATACATATATTACTACCTTTGTTATTCTTATCACCACCTGCATAAACCTTACTATCAATATTTTGTTATCATTATAATCATCGTTATAAATTTCGCTCAAAACATTTACCACATTATTATCATTATTTGATCCACAAAATCCCCGTCATTGGTTAAAATTTTTTATATATAAATCTACTTAAATAAGAGTATAGCCTGAAGATCTAATTGAAAACAACAGTAAGGTTCGCTTATATGTCTTGTTCTAATATTAAAAATGGGAATATTTAAAGACATATATTTTAATCAAAAACGAACTGAGTGTTACCCATTTTTATCGTTTACTATGACAAATAATTCTAGTTTGCCTTTTACTGATGCTTTTGTTGACAGAAATCAGCTTAAAATAGAAATCATCTTATGATTCATCGTGTGACCGGATGACTGTAAAATTTCATCATCTTTTTCTCACCTTCGTATTGGTCAAATCACCAACATCCAATCAGAGTGTTTATTTTTTTCCGCCTACCTTAGCCGAATAGCCTATCAATTGGAAGAATCGATTTCCACTGCCCTAAGCATATTTTAATGTGGTTAAAATATATATATAAATATGACGTGATTATAAATGCCCATTAAAATATCTTCAAAAGAATGGTTACTGAACAAAGAATATTCTTTTCGATAGCCTGCTCTTCATCAGGTTCTACAGTTATATGCACTTATAATAGTGAATGAATTAGTGTTATTAACAAAACTAATTGCTGTTTAAATGACATCGACTCAGTAATAATATCAGTGGATTACAGTTCTATAGCATCAACATAACACTACACTGAATGAATAACAGAAAAATTAGGAAAGACAATAATACAAATTCACCAATTTATAGTCTCCACTGAAGGCTGGCCAGGGCAGTAGTAGTGGCTGGTTAAACCTATTTCTTATGCACACCAAAGCACTAGTTGTTTCAGGCGAGTCGCAATAACCTCAGTTGTTTAGAGTATGCGGTACCTGGGTGTTTTTGGCAATTTGTTTGGCACCCGATAGATGACGATGCAGAAGGATTCTTCAATACTGGCTTGGTGACCGGTTTGGACCAGATGGTTTGATATCGAACTGTTGATGGTTTTTACTACACCTTTACTTAGCCACACTGGTAGATGTTCCCAAGTGGGCACGAAAAATCAAATCCCTAGAGCAACGGCCAATATAACTGGCTCCACAAGCGCAGTTGAATTGGTAGATACAATCGAGGAACCACCACAGGTCGTTTAGAAAACATGACTTACAGTTTACCATCATTAAAAGTTTTCTGAATAGATTTTCTTAACTTGTTAGTAATTATTTCACTAGGTACATCACCCTTGAAGTGCAGTTGTATGTGTAAAGGTTTCTTATTTACAGATGCCGAATAGTCGCTTTCCACTTTCTTCGTAATGTGTTTCTTGATGAACTTTCTGGATAGTCTGTCACATACAATCCTTAGTTTATCTTCAATTACCTCTTCTGAGCACATAGCTTTAACCCTGTGGCTGGGGGTATATATATACATAACTAATGAAGTTATCGAAAATAATATTCTTTGTTCAGTAACCATTCTTATGAAAAATATGAAGTCCTCTTTTCTAATAAAATTGCATTCTAACAGTTACAACACAGTCTTTGCCGTTTTTGATATTTACTTGGCTCAGTGAAACAGAAGGCACAATGGACGAATAGGCGTACTCAGCATATCATTGCGTCAGTGTACTACTATACCCACGGTCATATCAGCTGTCAACATGATTATAACAAATCAGCGAAGAGTTCACTGCAATGTCAACAATAACAATTGTGTAGGCGAAAATTAATGGATTTATTAGTTGTAGAGAGCCTGAAGAAAACAAATTTGTCGCAACCACAATTGTGCACTCTAATTATTCTTGTGCTGTGAATAAATTATGAGGATATTCAAATTTTATGAACACATAAATAAATAATGAAAAAAATAATATAACTGCGAAAACTGAAGTTATTAGAAATATACTGTGTAATAATCATGTCATCTGCCAGTTTACACCGTCTATGGTGTAGACGTGATATCCGGCTATCGACCAAAAGTTGGGTGTACTGCTCAGCAGTCCGCTCCATCCTCCTTTATGGCTGTGCGACCTGGCCATTGAGAGTGGAAGACATAAAATGGCTAGCTACCTTTGATCATAGGTGCCTGTGTTCTATCTCCCGTGTTAAGTGGTATAACAAGGTGGGCAATATTCAGGTTAGGCGTCGGTCGAGTGCTAGGTAAGGAGGGGAAATCAATCGACGAGGCTGTGAAGCTACATCGAATGAAACGGTTAGGGCATGTGTCACGCATGCCTAGCTGCCGATCACCCTCCTCGATGGGCAATGTTACCTGACAGAGTCAGGTTGGAAAGCACCTAGCAAGTGGTGGTCAAACCAAAACATGGCTTCACCAGTCAATGAAATCCACAACAGTTAGTTTAAGCTGGCCAGCCACGTACGAAGGTGTAGACTTTCTGGTTGGGGTCCTCGGGACGGTTAACACCAATGAAGGCTGGCGACAATCGGTGATACAGCTCAAAATCGTTCTCCATGATGGCGCAGATGCATCCACTCCTTGTGACTTATAACACCCAATGAAACTATATTGTTCGTCGTTATTACTTTTCCTTTAGTCTCATATCCCTGCCTACTGTCTCTATTTTACATTTCTTCTACTTACTTACTTCTCTTGCTTTGTGTGGTGCATGGAGTATGGCAACTCAAACTGCTGCACATCGGTGGAAAGTTCTACGTTGAAAACAGACAAACAGACAGAATAATCATGCTACCAATAAGTTGCTGTTCATTTACAGATTTCATTCAAAGTAGGTGCATAAGCTCTTTTCTGACATTTATCTATTCACACAACACTCGCGCTAAATATGGTAGGCATGAATTTTTGTAGTTACCCTTACAAGCGCAAATCACTATGAAGTTTCTTCTGGTTTTACGCGAAGAGAGATACAAGAAGAAAATTGTGAATAATAAAGAGGATGCTTAGTATCCCCACAAGATGACATAGGCGCCTATTAGCTTAAAAGAATTGAAATTCCTATCAATAAGAATATCAGTCAGTTAGCTAAGTCAAAGGCAAGCACACGTGTGTCCGTCAAAGCAATCTCGTATATATCTACCAAGCGTGATGTGTACGTGTATCCACCATATAACTGTCTATTCTTGTAACGATAATAAATATTTTATTTTATAATTGTAAGAACTTGGAGAAGAGAATCTGCTTCAAAAGAATATTCTTCGTTCATGTCGAATTTTAACATAGTCGGACATCTTATAAAATATGCAGCTACACTTTTTTTACGTGAAGGTTGATCGTGATCGAGACGTCATTTAGATATAAATGTTTTCAATCCATGTAAGTGTAAAATAGACAGATACATTCAGTCTTCAAAGCTGAATCGCAATCGACATCTAATAGTACCTAAGGAAAGGAGAAAAGCTGTCTCCATCAAGTCAACTGACGATGGGACAGATATAACGAAAACGCCTAAATCTAACACATCCATTTCTTAAGAAGCTAATTGTATTCAGAATGGTGAAATTCAGGAGGCAAGTAAGTAATATGTATGCTATTTAGTTAAGTATATTCATAATTATTTCACCTAAGATACACCACTTAGAGTTAGAACTATGCAGAAATTGACTGATTTTGTGATGATGGAAGTCGTCAGTCAGATTAGTAGGTGTCTCTCTCTTTATGTTTGAAGCTAGAATATTGACCAAAGAGCAAACGGTTATCTGAAAAGAATTATAGGAGACGATCACAATTGTCAGTTTGGCGGCATGGTGTACCACCACCCTACAGGTGCCGCCAGTATACTTCTCTGATTGGTACAACTTCCCCACTTGATAAGTGAAGTCACCAGATAGGACGACTATATCAGAGTACTGAGCTTGTAGCAACATACCAGACAGATTTTAACAGAACTCAAACTTTATTTCGTTCGAAATGCAGTATATTGAGGACATCGACACTTAACGGATCCATTTGTCCGGATAGCACACATACGACTATCCACTAGGATCCAGTCGAGTAGAGATTGGTCTAGCCTAGCATTTAATGCTATGCGTACATCTGCGAGTTCCCATGAACTAGCTGAAGGATTTCCTGACATGCGTAAGGTGAATTTTGTAGATCCACCCTGCTCGCCAACTGAGATTAAGGCAATAACTACACTTGGGTTTTGTATGCATATCTCGGGAGTGCAAGATACGAACATAGCTTGAAATGCCAGAGTTCTGCCTAGTAAAGCCTGTTGGTCGATTTGGCAAAGCGTCCCGAGGTTAAATACTCCGATGGAAAGTTGGCAGTTTTGTTTTAAGAGACTGTCAATAATAGTGTTTTATCGGATCACGTCGCTATTACTGATCGCAGAGTTAAAAGGTGAACGACCTATTTGTGAAATGACATTAACACTTGGAAAGAAAGCAAAAGGATGGAAGCTTCGTGTACTAAATTAAGTGTGTCAGTAGTTATTACTTCTCGGTTGCCCACACCGCGGAAGATGGAGAAATCACAATGAAATTAAATAAAGAGATTATCTCTATAGGACTCACTTTTTCAGCTCGATAACTGCGAGTGATACAGTAACAGTCTCCTACTGCAGGTATACATGTTTCTAAATACAACTGGGACGATTGAGACATATAGGCAGTTTCACCGAAATAGTTGAGAGAAAACAGGGTGGAACCACCTTCAACTTGAGTTTGCACAAATGTTGGAGGCAATACCTAGGACAAAAGCAAATAAAATATACTGTACAATGAAATTTAAACAACTCATAAGCAGTAATTAAAAAAAATAAACAAGTTAACCTGACAACACTGTCACTCCATGTGTAATACAACAAAAATTATACTGAGTTGCACCCTAATGACTAATCAATTTATCAATAGCAGTCCTGCAATAGGTCGGTCGTGAGGCTTAGTATCTCACTGACGTTTTTGACTGAAGAATTGGGCGACGTGAGTTTAAATCTCCAAGGGAACACCAGTTCCTTGAGAGTTACGCAGATAGGCTTTACTGACGAGCGCCAACAAGTACGAAATCTAGATCAAAGACTTCCTGCCTATTACCTTCAATCGTCTAAAATAAATTTCACTACTCAAACTGAATACTTTAAAAGTACAAATTGGAGGCAGTCAATAACAGGAATTCAATCGGGAAGATTGACTTCAACGTTGGCTAAAAATCCTTATTCCTGAACAACACTTAGTTCTACCATATACTCAAAGAGTGAGTAATCCATTGTAGAGATGTGAATTTATGGGTAAAAGGCATATACTGAAGAACTTTCAGATGTGTTCAATGAATTAGAAACCAGGTACACGGAAGTTTACTCAAAACAAATGCAACATGATTTTAATGACAGGAGGAACAATGCAATAGTCCATTTCCAGCTGTTCATTATCTAAAAGAATTAAAAAAGTCATGTGCAACTTCCATCCACTTGATGAAGTTCCCTGAAATCCTATATTTCATGATTATATAACGATTTAATGGCTGTGAGAGTTGGCCATTGAAAGTGAAAGACATGAAAAGACTAGCTGTCTTTGATCATAGGTGCCTGTGTTCTATCTCCCGTGTTAAGTGGTATAACAAGGTGGGCAATATTCAGGTTAGGCGTCGGTCGAGTGCTAGGTAAGGAGGGGAAATCAATCGACGAGGCTGTGAAGCTACATCGAATGAAACGGTTAGGGCATGTGTCACGCATGCCTAGCTGCCGATCACCCTCCTCGATGGGCAATGTTACCTGACAGAGTCAGGTTGGAAAGCACCTAGCAAGTGGTGGTCAAACCAAAACATGGCTTCACCAGTCAATGAAATCCACAACAGTTAGTTTAAGCTGGCCAGCCACGTACGAAGGTGTAAACTTTCTGGTTGGGGTCTTCGGGACGGTAAAAGCCAATGGCTGGAGACAATCGGTGATGTGGCTCACACTACCAAGAATTCACGCTGTATGAGACTCTGAAGAACCCCGATTTGTTAGCATTATTCAACAATGTTCGTTGACCTGAAAAGGATATTAAGTACTTGGAAGTTTATGGTGGTGTTGGTGGTGTTATAACCGTCAAAGGTGACTTATTTAATGTGAAATTCTTAAACGATATTTTACTTTTTTTTGATAATAAATCACATGTGAAAAGAAAGAAGAGGTCAATATCGAAAAGAATAATCCAAAATAGCAAATGGAAACAAAACGTGTTTTGAACTCACTTCAACATAACCACGATCAGCATAATGTGCACGAAAAGCTGATAAAGCAATACCGACTAGTCTGAGCATTTTAGCTGTCTGAAATAAATACACACAGTCACGAATGTTAGAATTATTATCACGTAAGAAAGGAGCTATGATTAAATATACGCAAGTGTGAGACAGACTCAAAGATTAGATGAGATGCTCCGTTAATTGATGATTCCGTAACATCGACCATTTTCACAAAAGACGTCAGTGTATACAGTGAAAGCAGTAGCTTATTAATAAGGAAACTAAGTGTCAGTTGAATAGACAATTTCTGCGAACATTTTGATGCATATAAAGAAATATGGAATGTTACTTAAGAACTGCTTGAGATTCCGTACAATTGGAAATGACCCACAGCTACTAGCCTAAAGTTAAGTGACACCCTACCAGGCTGTCCAAACCTTGGTAGGTGGAGTGTGATTCGAACCTGGGACCCACTACTGGTTGGAAGTCGACAGCCTAGACCAATGAGTTACAAAGCTCCAACCCTTAGCAAACATTCACGCTGATAGTTGGGAAAGGGCTAGTAGTGGTCAAACCAAAACATGGCTTCATCAGTCAATGAAATAAATCCACAACAGTTAAAGTCAGACAGCCACGTGGGAAGGTGTAGACTTCATGGTTGGGGTCCTCGGGATGGTGAGAAACAATGAGGATTGGAGTCAATAGGTGATATGGCTCCAAATCGTTCTCAATAGCCGGTGGAGATGCATTCACTCTTGGGATTTATCATATCTAATAAGACACTATTGTTCTTCCATATTATTATTCTTTTTACCTTATATTTGTGTTTATTATCTTTCTCTTCAATCTCTCTTTACTCTCTTCTTTTGCTTGGTGTGCTACATGGAGAGAGTACGGGGAACTCGAACTGCTGCACATCTGTGCAAAGTTCCCCGTTGAAATCAGTCCGTCATGTTGATAGCTCATGTTTTTCGAGCCAACTGACGACGATTACAGCATCCACGAATTTCTCCGTATAAATATGAACATTTCTTTCTGTAGATTAAGATATTTATGATGAGCATTGGGTACATAACTCACAATGAAAACAACATTTTTTTTACATATGTGTAAAACTTGGCCACTGTAGTAGTAAGTAATTCCATATTAGTTTGTTTATTAGATGTATCACAGTGAGTGAAACAGTATTATTTACTGGATGACACAGTTCCCAACACAATTTATTACTGTTCATAATCATCTCATCAATTATAATCACACGACTTCGAAACTTGAGTTTTATAGTTTTCTTTGTCCTCTCCTATTTATCGTCGTACGGGTAGTAGAATTTTCCATATATCTGGGACATCCCGTACTATGTCAGTGAAACAGGATTGGTGAAATGTTTAGGTGACAGAGCCCAAAAACTAAGTAGTACCAAGGAAAATCTAAGTCAGCAAGTGACGCATATAAGAGGAGTCTTGAAACTTAATAATTACCCTGATAAATTAGTCAGAAAGTATGTAAGGAAATGTAAAAATAAAAATAAAATAAATAATTATAGCAGTGATAGTGACAATAATAATAATAACATTAATGACGACATGCATGTCAAATATGCGCAAGACAACAACAATAAAGAATCTAAATCATCAGTAATTCCATACAAGGAAGGAACTTCGGAAACCTTACGCAGAATTCTTAACAAGGCAGGAATAAAAGTGGCTGGCATTCAAACCCATAAACTGAATTAGAAACAAGCTTTGTAGGTTAAAGGATCAGTCCTGTGGAGCTTTTAAAACAAAACAATTCAGTTTATCTAATACCCTGCTGGAATGATTGTCAGGTCAAATACATAGGTCAAACTAGTAGAACAGGGGCAGTCAGACTAGCCGAACATAAAAACCTAGCAAAATCTAGATTAGTTTACCCGAATAAGATAAGAAATCTAGAGAATAGTTCAGCTATAGCACTACATGTAATCACACACAACCATACAATAGGATGGGATAGGATGACAGTTTTAAAACCTAATGTAACAGGGTGCAGCGGGAGATTGATAACGGAAACTTTATGTACCAAATCAACTTCAAACACGTGCAGTGGGAATGGTTCAACACCTGTCTCAGATATCTGGAAAATTCTACTACCACACCTACGACGACAAACAGGAGAGGACAAAGAAAACTATAAAACTCAAGTTTCGAAGTCATGTGATTATAATTGGTGAGATGATTATGAAGAGTAATAAATTGTGTTGGGAACTGTGTCATCCAGTAAATAATACTATTTCACTGTGTGATATATCCATCTAATAAACAAACTAATAAGGAATAACATTTTTTACAGCTTCATTAGAATAATTAAGCACACTAATGATGTTTCATAGCCTACTGGAAATCTCTGCTTCAAAGAAGAGAGAATGTACAACTTGTTTTGTCCTCAAACAGTACCAGTATTCACACTTAAGAGTCATTTATGCATAGAACATTAGTCTGAATATATACGCAGAACAACTGCTAATATGCATCCAAATGTGTGTCTTGGCAACAAAAAAGGCTTGCAGACGACACCTTTTTAGTCAATCATCCCTATAGTCAGAAGAAAGTCATCTTTATAAGCTAGAAGGGAATGTTGAACTTCATGAGAGACATAAATGCCAGACAGATAAACAAACAGAACAGAAAAGAAGAGAACATGCATTGATGTTCCAGTGGATCACACCGATAAAATATAACTCAACTTAACAGTTGGGATTTTTATTAAATCCATCAATGCGTAAAATTGACAACAGCACAAAAAGTCATTATCACAAGAGTGTGGATGCGTGGTTCTGTTCATCAATAAAACTGGAGAACAATCCCAATCAACCATGATCTGATTGTAGTCTAAAAGCTCTAACAGTATAAAATAATGCGTCAGTGATTCAATCGTCTCATTATATGGAAATGAAGGCATGGGTTCGTTAGACGAGTTATCTATCACGAACTGTCATAAATGACAATTGACAGATCATTGAACTCCGACTCAGTAGTTAAATGGCAACATATTGGATTCATAACCTGATGACCAAGTGTTCAATCCCTGGTGGAACCACTAGCGCATACTGCTGAACAGTCCTAGAATAGGACTACCTGGCGTCGGTTAGTGACGAACCAAGTGCCTAACTAATTATTGTGATTTTTTTCAACAAAGAGTAGATAAACGAAAACCGTAAATTCTCAACCGACGAAATTAAAAATAGAACATCTATGGAAAATAAACAAACGCCTGGAGTTCACTTACATTTTCGCCTCGAATAACTAAATGTCTATTATCCAACTGTGTATCAATATCACTCTCCACTGTCAGTACAGAGTCAACACCACCAGCTGGTGCCTTGCCGATCACCGACCAATAATCAGCAAGCAGTTCAATACCTCCAGGAGCTGATTTACCAGCTGGTAATTGTTTTATTGTTCCATAAATTTCGATAGTTGATTCAGGGGATAGTGCAATTGCATCTTGAGTTAAACACTGAAGAGGAATAATACGAAGCAAGCAAAGAATATGGTTGATAACATCTACAGGGAACTATCCAAATGATGAAAATAAAAAACTACTGGAGTGTTTCAACCTTTTTGAGAAGTATCAAGTTCAAGTAAGCCAAAAATTCGACAGAGTTAAAGAGTTCCTTGGCCTTCACATGACAACGAAGATTAAGTGTAGCCCAGGCTTATATGAGATTACATAACCATTTGTTGTGATGTTAATGAAGCCTTAAGTAAAAACTACTTATACAGTTCCAAATAACTCATCAATATTCTTCATACTATTATTATTGCTCCCTCAAGTTCCCAGTGGAACATATGACTTCAACATTGCATCTTCACATTTCACTCTGTCCAACTGCAGTCTTTTTTAGCTGGCACCACTATCGCTCATAGGCTTTCATTTTTTTTTTTTGCTTCGGCTATCTCCTACGGAAGGATGAGCCGGCTTCATGAACTTCTCAAATCATCGCTACCCAGGCGCAGCAATCTGATGAAGAGAGTTTACGAAGTTTCATGGGAATTTGGTACGAGTGATGTCCCCAGAACCACTCGGCCTTTTGTTTGAGAGTGCAGCTCTAGCCTTTACACAACCAAGTGTGACCTACAAGGCAGTAGGAGTGGCGTAGGGAGTCCACTATCCATTGGCAGCCGGTGACCGGAGTTCGGTTCATACGCCTTTTTGAATGGGGCCGGACATCCAGGACATCCAACAAGCCCTTTGTCCATACGTCTGCCAGTGAGCTCCAGTGAGCTTCATACGCCAGTCGTTGTAGGTTTGGAATCAGGGTTTAGCCATCTCCCCTAGACTGTCATCCAATGGACAGTCAACCCGGTGAAGAGCGCCGGGCATCCGCTTTCGCCCTCTCACTTTGGTGAAAAACACCTCCGCCACGTGAAGGCAGTGAGTAGGACTTCCTCAGGAGAGGCTATGTAAGACGCCCGGTCATATGGGAGCATTTCAAGAGGTGTGCGGAGGGGTGGCCAACCCGCAGCGCAAGGCACCCACCCCCGACCATCCTGAGGCTTTGGAGGCTTTCATTTCCTCCACACAAACGGTCGCCTTCACATCACTATAAAACTCTTACTTTACACGTTGCTTGCCATTTGGGTTCCGCTCGAGGAGCTGGCACGTTGTCCTTTCTCACAACAACACTGACAGATTGCTGCAAAAGTCATGCATTTTGCACTAGCTAATCTTTGTTGCTGAACTTTCACTGGCACCACACCCAGTAGAACGTCATTCTCATTTTTATTATTACTAATCATTGCCCACTGATTTGTTAAGAACAATTCTTAAATTTACTGTGACTGTCGGTGCATCAGTTACGTAGTGATAGGATACCCACCAGCCACTCAGGTGGTCCCCGCCGAAGTACTCCGAACCTAGCTTAGCTGGTAATAAGCCTGACAGTTAGGGGAGGTTGGGGGTGAAACCAGCAATCCTGGCCCGTCAAAATAAAAACCACCGCTACCGAAACTTCAACGTTCTAGCTTGGAACCTTATGTTCTACTGGGAACGCAAAAGGAATAAAATAAATAATACCATGATTGTTGATTTTTGTGCTTGTTGTTGTAAATTCAGTGATCGTAGCTGTGTTTACCACCTAATCATACTGAAGTAGTCATTTTTTTTCTAATGTTTTGTTAACTGTCGCTTGTCAGTTGTTCTGTTTTTAGTCATAATGCCTGTATAGAGATTATTATCGCAAGAAAACAATACAGTACCTTTTCAGTGAATAGGATTCTTAAATGCATCCGTTCACATGACTTCAACATGAGAAGTCCACTGAATTCCTTATGGTAGTAATAATATTAGAAAGGCATACAAATCAGTGACATTGCATAAGGCATGCAATAACCATAAATGTTTAGTCCAGAGAGTTGAAGCCCTATATACATTTAACCAAGACCACTGTGATCTTTCTTTAGACACTTAGGTTAGTGTACCGATCACAACTTGATTTACAGATTTCGTACATTGTTTTTCATTCCTCATGTTCCACATGGAATATAGGGCTGTAAACTTGAAGTTTCAGTAGCGCTGTTGTTTTTACAGGATGGGGTTTCTATCCTCATATTCAGCCTTATCTTGTGCCCGAAATTTTCACTAGCTAGTAAACTAGACGATGTTTAGGAGTGCGTCAGCTAGGAATCGAACTCTGGACTACATGCGTGGCTGTATCCCAATTGCGGTGAAATTCGATACTCAATTGTGTCTGAAAATACCGAATCACCTTCTTCATAAAATATGAGCTGTAAACTTCGAAACGGGAGTGACACGTGAATGAAACTGCGCTCACACAATAGAGGAGGAGAAATGAAAAGGACAGCAAAGAAACCATATAGTATCTATATACTTATACGAATACAAATACAAAATATAAAATGCTTACCAAATTATTTGAAAAAACACATTGTAAAAATCCTGTACCATCACGAAGAATAATAAACATTAAAGTTTTACTCTGACGACGTATTCGATGCACCCAACCAAAAACATGAACACGTTTATCATATAGAGTTTGTAATTCTCGAATTTTACACTGTTGTGCTTTAGGTAGTGTTGTATCCAATGTAAGGTGAACTTCCATAGCTTCACTGAGATGGTTGCTAACATCTCCATTCTCAGATGACTGTAAGAAAAATGTGGAAAAATAGGAGTAAAAAAAGAATACATTCGGAGCAACATATATAATCTTCACTGATAGCCTAAGATGCTTATTGGTGATAGAATGAGAAATAATTAAAGGTGTCAGGAACAACCAATCACGTTCAAAGTCACCAGGAGAGACGATTAACAAACTTATCAAGAAATTTAGCTCATTTCATATTGAAGTTTACGCTGAAGGAGTTATCTTTCGAGTAAATGACAGCTGAGCAAATAAGCCATCTAGTACAGAGGGTACAAGTGCATCAATAGCATCTATCGGAGCAACAAATCTTCACTATTTCTGTGCTGGCTCTTACCAACTTTTCAAAAGTACTGAGCACTTAGATCCTTCAAAAGATGTATCATGCAAATGCCACAAAGTAATGCATACAATTGGTGTAATATTAGAGAAATAGCAATCTGATCAACACTATAATAGATACTCAAACAATTAAAACTACCAAATGATACATGTAATCCATAACGACTCACTGTTTTATCATGTTGCCCCTTCTCCTGTTTCCTTGCTTGTGCACTGTATGTCTTCATTACTTTCTTCAGTTTGCTTTTTGACACAACATCCCATGTCTCATCTCCAACACCATCAACCCAGATACGTGTATCTGCATTGACTTTACCATCTAACTTGATTAAGGCTTGCAGAACAGTTTTCAGTGGAGCCTTTTCTGTTCCATCTCCAGTTGTATCACAACCATGCTTTTCAGAGGTATAAATTTGCATTTTGGCACTATGATAGCTGTTTTCAACAATAAGAAAAAAATGAAATATCAATAAAAAGTTTATGATCACGTCTATTCCATTAACTTAAGTTGAAAAGTATGAGAGCATGAGAAAATCGTTCTTCGGTGACACTATGATAAAGACAAAAATTTACCAGAGAAAAGGTTTGCGACTGAAATAAGAGACGGGATGGTGTGAATAATTGTTTAAAGAGAACCAACGATAGTACGCAGCTGCCTAGGTCTGATATCGACCTCTACATCTTTCGTCGTTACTAGAAGTAACCCGAAAGAAGGAGACTGACGTTAGTGGAAGACCAACAACAACAATTATAGATGATAGCTCGATTGCTGGTTACATAATGTAAAAGACGATTATCCCGGTCTAGTCTAAACCGTTCTGCTACTATACTACAGTCAGTAGGCTTAGCGATTTTTTTCCTATGAAGACATCACCACAAAATGTCTTCAAAGAACTCTGACACAATCAGAGAATATTTTGAATTTTTGTTACCTCTAGTGCAAACAGTTGCTGAACTGAATCTTGTGAAATGAGATGACTAGTCAAATATGTTGTTTAGTGATCCTAGTCCTATCATAAATACTGAGGTCACTATTGGCCTCCACAAATTTTCTCCGACAAAAAACGCGGGAAATATACGTAGTAACCTAATAAAGATCAAACAGCTAAGCAGGAACTACAACTTCCATCTTACAATAAGGCCTTAGTTATTAGTGGAAGGATACTGCCAGTACAAGTACAATTTTAGAAACCCTGTAGCTCCTCAAAGGAAAATTTAGGGCAAATCTATATCATATTTACAGACCACATAAATAGTTGTTGAAGTGCAAGAAGAGATTCAACGCTATGGTGTAAGTAATTAGGCAAATGATAATAATTAGGTTGAAGGTATCCACATATACATTAAACCTATCCTAAAACTATCAACTTTTACATTTATCTTTGTTTTCACTATTAAAATTAGGTCCTTCACAATTTTCCTAACTTTGTAATCTACGACCATTCATAGCAATTTGAGTCACTGGAACTGTCTCTGAGTTCCAGTTTCTAAAGGACAAACCTCATATTAAATGTTTTAACAACCCTGTACTAATCAACATACGCAACATTTTAATACAGTAGTGGCATTAATTCTTATATTAGTTTGCTTATCGGATGGAACAAACAGTGAAACTAGTATGTGCTAGAAACCTACTTCAGGAAACAGTAGGTTACACAGTCTCTGTTCTAGTGACTAACCAATTTTCATACTATAAACGGCACTACTTGACTAGATCTAGATGGCGCCCGATTGAGATCCAGTACAGTTTTAGCTTCCCGTTTGAATGGAAATTACCGAACCACAAAGCCTATATATTAGTATTAAATGAGCAGTTATTTTAATATCTTTAAATTATAATCCATCGAGAAACACCTAATTCATACTTCTGCACTTAGTGTTACATTTAAATCACTTATGAAAATCAGCACTCTGAATGTTAACATTAGGACCCTATATATCAGACACGCCAAGACCTCTGACACTTTCGTGCCCAAGTATCTTGGTGAGTAGAGAGGGATAAAAAAACTCCAAATGACGTGAGATCTATAGAAGCAGTGAATTCTGTTTCGAATGGATAGACATACACAAAAGAAATCAGCACATGCTCACCTGGAAACTCGTATTTGGCTGAGTGACTGTCAAGTGTGATGTTCAACTTTCAATGCGAAGTAACCATTGTGAAGGCATCAAAATAACTCAAGGTTTTTACTTACAGTAACTTGGGCATATTGTTTACGTAGTAAATTTTCGTCCATTAAGAAATCAATCTCTTCATTTGTTCAACGAATAGCAAGCAAGATGCGCACAACTATCTCTTTTAGGTAACCTTACTATGTAGTTTCAACATCTTATAAGGGCACGGGAATCTCTTCGAAATTTCGTGATATATACGTGCATACACACAGTCCCTAGATTATCCATTGCTGGTTAAATAATCTGGTGAACGTTTCCCGCAAATTATCTATTTATTAAATACTCCTTCTTTTACAACAGATTTCTCATTAAAATGTCTGTCTTCCGTATGAGTTACTGTAGATCTCCCAAAATACTTATTAAGCTGTAGGGCTAGGACCAATCGAGAAACAAAAACACTGCCAGTTAGCAAGTCACAGCGATGATTTTTTAAGAACATGAATTAGGATGACTAGAAATAGTAAGAATTAAGCTTGACATAGGGCGGAGTATGAAGTCTAAAGGATTTAAAGTAACCAGAGGGAATTTCAGTCAACTAATGGAAAGCTGAGATTTCTCTAGACTTTTTCTATGGTATTCCTGATAATAAACTGCAATTACTTGCTCAAGAGCTCACATGTAAATGCTAAATACCACTCTATCCTCAGAATTCTAACTGGTGTAGTATCACAACAGTTAAACATAAACGATTCGGCTTAACTCACTGGAATTCTTTTCGTGGTTCATAACCATATAAACTGTTTACAAACAACCATTTCTGTAGAATTAAATGACAGTGAAATTAACCTCATCAACCGCTTCTGGAACGATTTCTGCTGGTCCGAAAATCGATTTTACCTGTTGTAGTGGTTTCGTAATTCCTTAGGCAAATATTATTTTGAAGACATTGAACCCCGAAAGAAAAGACCATGTGAAGGGGGAGTTGAAGTTTGTGGGCAGTTGTGAAGATTGGTGAAAATAACTGAGGAGAAAGAGGACAGTGGTTGAAGATTTGTGTTCCACTCTCATTGTTAAAAAAAAGAATAATAAAAAAAACATCATAATGTCGAGTTAAAGTTGTGAGTAGGTTCTGGAAATAGCTTAGGTACCTCTGTTTAACGATAATAATAGCTGAGTATTCATACAGCGCTAAATTCGATCCTGTTGGTCGGCTAAAATTTTCCCTGAGTAGTTGCGAGGAGTCATCATAACTAACTCGTTTGTGAGATGGTCAGTGTAACTATCTTCACAGTTGCGTATACCCAGAAGGATTGAGGACAACGTTTATTTTACCTCCTCTAAACTGTCTCAACAGCCCCATGGATTTAACTTTAAAACATATTAGTGGTCGCCGAAAGTGACGAATTTTGAGTTGTGTGCCCTTAATTAGTTGGCGTCTTAGATTTGGAGGATGGAGATTGCCAGCATTTTTCACTACGCTTTTAGCGGATTTGTGCTGTGTGGGTTTTGTTATCTGAGGTACCATAGCTCGACTTACATATGCTAGAATGTTAAATGAAGAACGAGGAAATGATGTGACGTGTGCTATATAAATGAAGATTGACAGGAAACTACCAAAAATTGAAATCAACATTTTAAGTCAGTGGTTGCAGGGGTAGGAGTTTTTGTTCCCCGAATCTTCCTTAAGTTTACGTCATGGTCTGCAATTTCAATGAAAATGACAGTCACGTTATTTATCCTTGGACTAACGGCTAACCAATCAGAACTGTTTATGATCCGTTGATCTAGCCAACTTTTAAGATGATTGAAAATGTACGAATGTGGTGCACTTTTCTTCAATAAAAAGTCGTATTATCAATTCTTTTATCTTCTGCCATCAAGTTTGGTGTCACTGCCTTCAGATAAAGAAGATCCTATGACCTGCTTTCAAGGAAAGGCTTCCTACATGACTTCGACGCTATCCCTAAGTTGGTAAGCAGCGGGATCCTATAACTAAGATGGTCTTGCTGGAGACGCTGCTGAGAGATCGGACAAAGGCGGAGTGCGACGGTATAGAGCAGGTGGAAAGGTGAAATCTGCGGGGGCGTTTGTGGAACAAATGATTGCGTAGTCCGACAGCCCGACAGACAGGCGGCCGGCAATGCGTCAGTTTTGTGCTATGAAGCTGCGGTCGGACACAGACCTACTTGTATTGGCGGTGAAACTGACAGGTCTACTTTGTCACTCATTTCCCACACATGGTGGAGCGTCTGTGATGCAGCTGTTGAACTCTGGGTCCGTAGAAAGTTTTCCAGGACACACTGCTTAGCATTTACGACTGGTCGACGGTGCACAACCTATGCACACTAGTGAAGGTAACAACACAGATATTGATCACAACGGTAGCCGCAATATGGCCTCTAGCATCCGACCAGTGGGAACAGAAAATTGAAAATATGCAGCACGAAGCGGCGCAGCTCCAAATGCGTGCAAAAATAGGTCGATGCTTTGATTCTGACACACCAGGGCACTGCAGGAGACACTAACCAGAGGGACGCAGAAGAAACATTTTTAGACAATATACTGTGTAATCTTTCTCTCCAATAAGACAAGAAGCAGTAGGAGCAATAGAGGGGGAGGATATGTATCATGAGTTTTGAGTTAATGGCAAAGAATTCACATAGAGTCATAACACCATCACACGAACAACTTCTCTCCTTTCGAAGCAAGCCTAAGTCCAGGCAATACTCAAAGACACTATCCTCCTCGAATTACAAAAGTACCCTTGTAAGGGCACGCACTGACATGAATCAAGCGCTATACAACATTGAACTACGTTCATGAATCTCATTGGATAATTCGACGTCGTTCGCTGATTGGTAGTTATTGGTGTCTAAAGTTTAACTTGGCCGTACCAGTAATGGAAACGACATGTCCGCTTGACCGAGATCAGTATCAGTGGGTGTATGCACTCACAGAAATCTTAAAGAAGCGAATGAACCGCAAAAATCACAGCATTTCTCTCCTCATAGACAAAGGTGGGTTATGCACTAATTCTGCAGACATGTGTGAATTATTCAATAAAACTTTTGCAGGTAACTACCTTGAGCCCTCAGTCCAGTTACTTGATATACACCCTTCTACTAATATGGCACAAACTCCATCTCTACTCACGCCAAAACAAATTAGCACTGCTGAATTCACTTATGCTAACATTAACCCAACCATAAGAACCCCCAAAATCTCAAAAGCTTTTGGTACTGACGGTATATCGTCCTACTTTTATAAATATGGTGGCCCTGACATTCCTTTACTACTGCTTAAAATATTCACAATGTCCCTAGAAACCCAAACTTACTCTGATATATGGAAAACAACATTTATTATGCCTAAGCACAAATCTGGCTTGAAAACAGAAGTTAGTAACTACAGGCCGATCAATTTCACACCTGTCGCATCTAGAATTATGGAGAGACTATTTAAAGATAACCTACTCAAGCATATGCTTAGCTGCAACATTATAAGTCCGAACCAACATGGATTCCTAAAATCCAGATCATGTTTGACATGCCACCTAGACTTCTTCAATTTTGTAACCAGCAGTCGTGACAGACGACAACTAGCACTTGTCATCTACTTTGACATCTCTAAGGCATTTGACCGTGTCGACCATTTACTGCTAATACAAAGGCTGAACTACTTAAGAATACGTGACCCACTATTAGGATGGCTTAAATCATTCATTAACAACAGGTATCAGACAGTTGAACTCGGGTCAACAATGATTAGTCCAGTATGACAGACTTACTGAGAATGCGGATGAGCTTGGCACCATGCAGTGAAATGCAAGCCGTGGTTGGTAGAGTTAAATGACACCCCTTTGCTGTGTCACTGTCAGTAAAATAGGCCAAGCAGTCACTTATAGCTTGCTTTCCGAGTTTTTGGGACCGTTTTTATTAGGAAAGGGAGGTCACTCATTTGCAAAAACTATTGATAAGGTCGACCACTGAAGTTTTGCAGGGAACCACTGTGATTACCTCAGCTTCTTAGTTACATAGTGCCAACATGCCAACATGAGCGAGGAAATCACTCTCGGACATGATTAGCTTAAGACACCGATACTGAGAATTGAAGAGAGACGAACAATCTCTTAAATGTATTGTTAATGTCCTCAGTGTGGCGCTTTAGAGGCCGCCTTTTATATCAAAGCAACTAAATTATAAGTAACCATACTAACCCAGGAATTCCAATACTTCAAGTCTGCAGTGTTTGATTGCTGCCATCAGTTTACTTATTCAAAACCCCACTCGAGTAATCGTTTGACGAAAAAATACATAAACCAACTTGAAGAATTAAGGGAGAATGATGATATTATCATACGCCACCCAGAAAAATGTGAAGTTGTTCCCGTGATGGTTCGCCAAGATTATAAGGACTGAGTCTCAGTGATTCTTTCTTATCAGATGAAACTTGCCAAACCCGTTGGTGAAAGGAACAACGTGCCTCTAACTGAATATCAGTTGGCACATTTAAAAAAACCATGAAAATCCGTAATATTTTCAGATTTGTGTGAACTTATCCGACCCATTGGCTCCCAAATACCACGTTTGCCTAGATTGCCGGAAATACATAAAACAGAATTACCTTTCTGTACGATTCTTGATACAGTTGTGGTGAGAGATGGTTGCTAGCCAAATTGGTTGACAGTAATTGAGGTCAATGTTAGTCATGTGAAAACAAGGTCAAGATGGACAGTCGGATACAGTTAACATATAGATGAACTGACACAGCCACAGAAGATGCAAGGTTAACTTTGTGTGAGAAACAACCAGTCAACAGACTGTATTTTCTACTAGCATTAACCTACAATAATGTACATCAAAATCTATAGATACATGTTGATTTTCCCTAATAAACGTTCTGTTGCCTGGCCCTTGTCTTCTGTTGTTGCACAGTGGGCTCTCCTCACTGCAGCAAAGCTCGGTGACTGGCTAAAATGTTGGAATCATTTGGAAGGCTAGTATTTATGTTTTCGACTGGTGATACTGAGGGTATTAAAGATAAAGCTATGTTTCCACCAGACGTGACTTCGTTATTCAGTAATGTGATCCTTGCGGAAACTGTCTGCTATATATACGATTATATTGGTGCACAAAGTTTTGACATAGGGTTGCCAATGAGCTACCTCAAGGAACCCTTATTGAGATGCACGCTGAATGTTCAGTTCACTTTCAATAATGAAATTTTTAGACAGATAGATGGCATTCCTATGGGATCGCCACTGCTGGCTGATTGTTGTATTTCAAAGCTTGAAAACTCTAAACTTAGCCAAACTATCGGTCACTGTGATATTTATTGAAGATATTTAGATGACACTTTGGTTATCTGCGATTAGGGTGTATTTCATGATGACATCTTGTTTGCATTCGACAAGTGCTGTCCTTCTCTGCAATTCACCACAGAAAAGGAATCTTAACTGAATATTCCCTTTCTTGATGTGTGCTTCAGTAGACTCAATGACGGATCTCTCAAAAGATTCATCCACCAGAAACCAAGATTGAATAGACAATTAACAAACTTTGATAGTTGGCTGCCGTCCGCGAGGGAAAGAAAAATTAATTCACTCACTCTGCTTTGGACAAAAACATTTGTAGTTCTGTTTGGGTTGACTCAGGACTTGGCTTCCTAAAAGCCATACCCGCATAAACGGTTACCCGAACCGATTTATTGGCAGAAACATGAAGGATAAACAGTTCGGACAGGTCACCGACTCAACTTCAAGGAAAAACTTATTCATGAATTTGTTATTCAAAGGTGATCAGGCCTCAGGCATGACCAAAAATCGTCTAAGTCAATCAAAGAGACTTTCTCTACTGTGAAACTTCAAATGACTTTAACCATCAATTAGTCGTTGTCCGTCTGCATAAAAGAACCCCATCGTCTGGCTACCTCCATGTGCATCTGTCAGTTTACCTTCCCTTGTGGAGCAAAGTGTCCGGTTAATGTGTTACACATGGATATTAGAACATGTTTCCGCATGCTTTTGAAAGGGAGAAAAGAAAAGGCGTGCGAAACTCTATTCTACAGCACTTGGTAGACACCTGTCACTCTACCAACCCCGACGATGATTGTAAGATTATCTGTCTGATTCATGCCAACCTCGTTCTGAACTTCTATAAAAGCGGAAACCTTGGTCACTAGTGAATTTAAGACAGACCTTTATGTCCAGAACAAGTATTTACAATTAGTATTCCTGCCTTGGCATTGGAGGGATAAACATTTACTTCGTTTTTCACTGTGTTTATTTAGTTAGTCTGTGTACCTTCCCTGCATTACGATGATTATGATTATTATTGTTGTTCCCAGTTTATTATGTTTACGGTGTTCTTCACCTGTTCGACTTGTTACTCCAAATCACAGAAATTTTTGCATTGTTAATTTGGCTGAAATTATCCCGCATGCTCAAGGTCATTGATGGAATGAGACGCTCAAAGGTCATTTTCGTTCATGTTAGTCGGTTATGTTGGATTGCAGTTCCGTAGCCGTTCGTTTACACATCGGTTTTACGTTCTGTTGGCATTTAAAGGTGATTCCCATGTACTGACAGCATTCTTTTGTAAAATAGTACTGTTCTTCACACGAAAATAGCCACAATTTGACGTAGTCTTCATTGAATGACACTATGTCGAAAGCTGCAGCTTCTACAAGAAATAAACTATTTGTGTAGATGACATTACCCCCCAACTACCCCATCTTCTTCATTGTAGAGATGTTTTGACGCATTCAGTATGGAACACTAATCATTACAACCAATGTGCTAAGTGTGTCGCAGTCAGATTAAATGACGCGAACACGGCTGGACTTATCCGGCATGTTGGTTGAAATTTCGCTCGGCAAATTTTTTTTGTCAGTAATTTTTAATAAAATTTTGTTATATGTTTTCTGGATTGATAGGAATTCTCATTTCCTGGCTAGTTTTGTTGGTGTCCGCGTCATGTAATCCGACTGCGACACACTCTAAGCAGATTGGTTGTAATGGTTAGCGTTTCATGCGGAATGAGTCAAAACATCTCTACAATGAAGAAGATAGGGTAGTTGGGGGGTAATGTCATCTACACAAATAGTTTATTTCTTGTAGAAGCTGCAGCTTTCGACGTAGTGTCATTCAATGAAGACTACGTCAAAATGTGGCTATTTTCGCGTGAAGAACAGAACTATTTTACAAAAGAATGCTATCAGTACATGGGAATCACCTATAAATGCCAACAGAACGTAAAACCGATGTGTAAACGAACGGCTACGGAACTGCAATCCAACATAACCGACTAACATGAACGAAAATGACCTTTGAGTGTCTCACTCTATCAATGACCTTGAGCATGCGGGATAATTTCAGCCCGCGAACACCAACATAACTAGCCAGGAAATGAGAATTCCTATCAATCCAGAAAACATATAACAAAATTTTATTAAAAATTATTGACAAAAAAAATTTGCCGAGCGAAATTTCAACCAACATGCCGGATAAGTCCAGCCGTTAATTTCTGTCTTGTCAAACTTCTCATCATTTTGTATGATATATTTAATTTGCCCAATGGTGCTGTAATGCTGCACCCCCTTTCAACATCTGTACGCTTTGTGGACTATTTTGTATGCCACCAATTATTCTGTCAATTGATATTTAACTTCGACTATAGTCACAAACATTCAAATTGCATTTCATAACATCATTGTTGAAAGTAGAAACAATTCAACTTGGACCTTCCAGCTGACTGAATGGACCAAAATGTTGGGCTTCTGCTGACATGTGTGAAAAGTCTCAAACAGGACGAAATAAGCATTCCGGATTCCATTGCTAACCACCTTCCTTTAAATCTTCGCAAGGGACATGATCTCTAGAAAACTTATGTATATAACCGCAGAGCTTGCTGGGAAAATTCACGGAGAAGAGTCTCTCCTCTGAATATTGTTTTCTCAGTCTACTAAGTCACCAAAACTTATACTTAGTCATGTAGGATAAGTCTCCGGAGGAACATAGTTGCCTTTTAGCGCACAGTGGTTAGGACCATGCACATGGTCTGGGTTTCGATCTCCTAATGACTCACACGCGAGATCAGTGGTTGGCCTGCGAAACTGGGCTACCAATATCACATGCTGAAAATTCCATACTTGTACCGAAAATACGGTGTGGAGTCAAGCTATAATCAAAATGGGAAATGAGAAAAAGCTTTCTGCACCAAAATACGAAAGGACGTAAATGAAATGGACACATACGTCAGGCAAGCTGCCAATTAAGTAGGTCCTAGGCTACAACAACTGCGGGTCGCAGAGGCGTTACGAACTAACAGTTACTTACGTAACAACCCATGAAAGAAGCTCACAAATATCGCTTCAGTATATTTTCAAGCTTGTTTATAGCTCAGTGTACACACTAATGTTAGGCGTGTAATCGGGGTGGCCAAACAATTAGCCAGAGACAGATATTTTGCTGCCAGCTGCAAACTGGAACAATTAGAGATGAACTTCAACTAATCAAGCCATCTAATTGCCTCTCTTATCTTCACTTTTCCGTTAGAGTTTGGTCCTAGCTATCCATTTGTTTTTCTTATGCTTATCTATCTTCCAAAATTTTATTACCGTCTTTTCTGCTGTTGCGGCTGTTATTAGTGTTGTTGGGAACGCATTTCGCTTTTCATCAATAAACCATGAGAGGCCAAATTTTGATGACATAAGTGTCAGCAAACCAACGCAAACCACAAGATTTTTGTCAAACCCAAACGACCCTCCATTCTTATCGATATCTTCTAGAACTAAGGCAAGTGGGTGGCACAACTGATTATCTGAAGTTTGTCCAGAAGCCGGTGGTCATTTCTTTTTACCAGGAATTCAGAGCAGTAAAATCAACTGCAATATGGATATTGGATGTTGGTCAGAAGAGTGGCGCCAGCGTTAAAATGCTGAGGTGCACTAGGATTCTTTCATTAACTAATGGTAAGCAGAGTTATTCGCTACCTCAACTGCCATCCAGTTATATATAAAATTCCCCCTAATTTTTTGGCTAAGTATTGTAGGTTTGAAAGTATCATTCAAAGTTATTTTATCCCTCAGTATACTAGGTTTTAATACAGAAAAATAGTACTTCCCTTAGAACTTTACTTGGGTTTCTCTATTTCACGCTTACTTGGGAAGAATAGATAAATTTTGTGTCGATACGCTTATGCATACAATGCGTGGGATTACGGAATCTCATTGCTATCATTGACTTTTGCATTACTATTAACCAGTGGTGTGGCCTTTTTACCACAGGATTAAGATTCAGCAGTAAAATTTCTCCACCGACAATAAACGAATGAGTGCATCATTATCTGCTTGACACTTGGGTGAGATTGTCATGTTTCAGCTAATGTTTTGAGAAAGGTTCTTATTCGTGAGCGAAAATACCATCGCAATAGCAATTATTTGCTTTATAGCTATTTCGTTGAAGGCTCACTTGTTGGTTAATTTCGATTAGGGCACTTAACTAGACCTAACCTAATTTATTTCATTCGTGTAAACTTTGAGGTAGGTTTTTTAACTCCACATATTGTCACTTATTCTCATTCCGATTAATTATTATTATTATTATTGTTCCCTTGGGTTCCTAGTGGAACATAGGGCTTCAACTGCACGTCTCCACTTGCTTCTGTCTTCTGCTGTTCTTTTCACTTGCGTCCATGTTATTCCATACTGTTTCATCTCCTCCTCACACGATCTCCTCCATGTCACCCTTGGACGTCCCACTCGCCGCTTCCCTTTCGGGTTCCACTCGAGGGCTTGACGCGCGATGTCACTCAACGGCCTTCTCAGCGAGTGTCCAATCCATCTCCACTTCCTCCTGCATATTTGTTGGGCGATTGGTTCCTGTTTCGTTTGTTCCCATAGCTTCTTGTTTGTGATTCTTTCTGGCCATCTGATCTTCAGTATAGAGCGAAGAAGACAGTTGTTGATAAAGGTCTGCAACCTGTTGAAAATATTCTTGGTGACCCGCCAAGTTTCTGATCCGTAAAGCAAAATTGACTTCACGTTTGTATTGAAAATCCGAATTTTGTTGTTGATGGTGAGTGACGAAGATTTCCAGATTGGTTTCAGGTTGATGAATGTGTTTCTCGCCTTCCCGATTCTCGATTTGACATCCTCGTCCGTTCCTCCTGTGGTTGAGACAATGCTCCCCAGATAAGTGAAAGAAGTAACCTCTTTCAAATCCCTCCCGTTGATGGTGATTGGCGCTGGATGTTGCTGCTGTTGTTGGTTGGTTATTTTCATAACCTCCGTCTTGTCTATGTTCACCTGGAGTCCTGTCTTTGCTGCTTCTTCGACCAGTTTGTCGGTTTTTGCTTGTAAGTCTTTGATTTTGTGTGACATCAAACATAAATCATCCGCAAAATCCAGGTCTTCTAGGTTTAGAATTTTGAATATATTTGTGCGTTGAAGTTTTAGTAGCAATTTGGTTAAGTTTTGGGGGTGGAGTTGCTAGCACCACGCCCCAACCCTCCCTCTTTATCCGGGGTTGGGACCGGCTAGAATTGTGATAAAAGACAAAAGAATAACCGTCCCATCCTTTCTTGTTACTTTATTGAATGCAGCCAATATACTTATTACTCTCAGAAAATAAATATTCTTTGAATCTGATATCTTACCTAGACTTTGTGTAATCCAATTTACCTATTTATTTGCTTAAAAGGGGGAAACGAATGTGTTGTATTAGCATATCAGTAAGTTGAAGGTATAAGTGTGGGCCGTAAACTCTGGAAGATACAATAAAATTGCGAGTATAACAGGCAAGAGTTAAAGAACACTAGTTTTTCAACTCTACCACATTATATGAGCATATTCCCTATTATAGTAAATACGTATTGACCCTTGTACTACTCACAGTTGCATTCTGTTTATGGTGCACCTATATAAACATATATGTGCACTCTCAAATCAACCACTCAAACGAGGTAATTGTATGTTGACTCTTAGTAGATAAAGGCTTTTGTTTTTGTTAATGCATTATTTTATATGGAGATCAAATCACTAAGATGCAGTATCAAAACGATCGTATTAATTGGTCTGTTAATTTCATAGCTTGCATTCAGAGCAGGCTGTAAAGAAGTACTGGATACTTTGGTGAAACTTTCCCTATTTTTTTCAATGTTTTGAGAGGTAGTAGCGGTCATTAAATTACTTAACAGTGGTCTGTGGCTTCCAGCTGGCGTATATAACAATCGAACTGGATAGTGTCAGTTGTAGATTGGTATTGGGGTAAATAAATCTGTTGAACGCCTTAAAAGCGTTTAATAATATTTCTGTCTTTCTGGAACTTTCAGGCAATAATAAAAGCATGATATCACCTACTGGATATCACTTTAGCGGCAATTTATCAGTAATTACCAGAGTATCCCCGCAAATTGCACATGTGGTTTTTATTTTGTCGTATTCTTCCAATTTTCTGTCGTAGAGGCGATAAATCTGTCTATATATATCTATAGCATACAAACAACCATTCTTATTCTACATGCTTAACGCTAATTCACTATAGAAAATTTTCGACTGTTAGTTGCTACGTCACGCGTGGTTTGTTCTTTAATATTCTATGTACGTATGCAGAATCGTGCTCTTTTTGGTGCTTACATAAGGTTTTGTGCCACGATAACAGTCGGAGAAACAATCAGCCCTTTTAATAAATTTGGACAGTATTACTAGAAGACGGAGATCATCTGAAAGATGTGATGTATTGTGCATCATCTCACAGCAATCAGAGGACTACTGAAAGTCAAGGAGTACTAAGGAGCTGTGCTGTCCTAGTTTAGGACTCTTCAGGAGTATGCACCAATCAACCCAAGTGGATTGAATCCAAGACCTTCAGGTTACGAAGTGAACTAGTTGACCATTCAGCTACTGGAATGGAATCCAGTAGTTCATTAATTCTGACTTTCACTAATTTGTGATATATTGCGTTACTGCTGGCCAATTTCATCGACGAGTAATTGTTCCCATACCGGTCTTAATGAACCCCACTGGTCACGACTTCTTATTAGAACTCCAGGCAATTTCATCCTGTATTCAGTCAATAGTGAGCATTAGATTAACTTTCAAGTGTTGGTTTACGGGGATTTAGTGGTCTGTTGTATATTGTTAAAAATTTTATTAGTTGGAGGATTTCATCATGAGCTGACATCAGTTAGACTGACTGACTGGTTTCAAAATAGAAATTTGCACCGATGTAATGCAGTTCGAGTCGCCACACTCCATGTAACACACAAAGCAAGAGAAGAAAGTAAAAGGAAATGTAAAATAGAGAGAGTAAACAGAGATATGAGACAAAAGGAATAGTAATAACGAAGAACAAGATAGTTTCTTTGGAAATTATAAGTCACAAGGAGTGGATACATCTGCGCCATTGAGAATGATTTTGAGTTATAACATCAATTTTGCTCCAGCCGTCATTGGTGTTTACCGTCCCGAGGACCACAGACAGGAAGTCTACACCTTCCTACTTGGCTTAAACTAACAGTTGTCAATTTCAATGACTGATGAAGCCATGTTTTGGTTTGACCACCACTGACTCTTTTCCAACCTGATCCTATGTCAGCTAGCATCAGCTAGAGAACCCCGGTGGATGCGTGCTGATAAATAGTCCCAAACTAAGACGAAACAGCTGTCCAGTACTCTCAGGTGGTTTTCCAATGGTTCTCTAACTGATGTCAGTCAGCTCATGATGAAATCCTCCAACCAATCAAACAAAAATCCCTACAAAACCAATACCTGAAAAATGTTACTGTTGTTTCCACCTGGTAGGTAGACTTCTGATTGACAGTTGCTCATAAATTACTGGGTTGTGGAATCACACTAGGAATTGCATATTTTTACCTAATATCTCATTAAATCCATTTATCTGATTAAAATGTACCATATATTCCATTTAATTTCATTGATTTTTGAATTACAGAAAAGAATGTAATACTGATTAGATCTCTTTCCACTGCCAATCCAACCACTGCCACTCAACCCACCAAGGTTTGCTTACTTATGTTTCTTCATTCATGCACTGATAATTTAGACAACTTACGGCCCACTGTCTGATGAAGATCGAATATTCACTAATATATATGGTCGACATGATTGGCGTTTAAAGGGTGCAATGAGACGTGTAAGATTTGTCTTTTACATTTCTGTTAACACTGGTTATCCTTATATTAAAAGGGTCACTGGTATAAGACAAAAGAAATCGTTTTAAAAGGCAGTGATTGGATTATTGAAGAGATTAAAAAATCTGGATTACGTGGGCGTGGTGGTGCTGGTTTTCCTTCCGGTATGAAATGGAGTTTTATGAACAAACCTAGTGATGGCAGGTAATATTTAACTAGTGTTTATTTATTGGCATATCAATAAGGAAGCTATAGATAAGCCCTCGGTTAATGGTTTTTTTAAAACCATATCTACTTGTTGGTTGTTCGTAGCAGTTAGATTCGACCAGTTGATATAAATCAGGAGTAACGAGTCAATATTAGATTTATCACCAAACAGGATAAAGCATTACCTACCATAGTACAGATACGAGATTTAGTGTTTAGCTCTAGCATGTTTGAAACAGATTCAAGGTAGCAGCGGCCTTCCTCTGTAAGCAATCTTACCTGGAATAGAATCCGTTTGAAAAGTAGTTAAATGAGGTCAGACTAAACATACTACAAATCCATGAAGTTATTGGCTGTTAATCGAGGTGAGATTTAGGGAGGTGTAAACTGCATACTGTACGTCGGTGGCATAGCGGTTAGGACGCTCGCCGACCATGCACATGGTCTGGGGTTCGATTGCCGGCGGACGCACTCCTATACCTCGCTAAGCCAGAAATAATGCTGATGAAGAGGATAGGTTGGGCATGAGGCTAGCAACCCCATCCTGTAAAATAAACACTGCTACAGAAACTTCAAGCCACTAGCTCGAAGCCCTATGTTCCACTGGGGAACGTGAAGGAAAAAAACTGCTTACTTGGGGCCTTTCGAGATTTGAAGGCTATGTAACCGGAGATTTTCTGTAACAAGGCTCTAAACTGTTCAAAACAACGCGGATGTATACACTTCATACCATCTATCAAATTCTGAATATCTTCATCAAGTGTTAGTGAATTATTCCCTTTGCCAATTTCTGTTTTATTTAGTACAGCTCTCATCAATCAACCACTAGTACTTAGCGTCATGCATTTACACTGTTTTTGTCCAATTATTTTATTTAATTATTTGAAGCGTTGTAGGGTAAAATAACGCACCAACCAACCAACCCACTGTTCGGTTAGTTTTTTAGTACATATAAGTACCACTGATCCCTTAGTACAGTGGGTTATTTACTCCTCGATGCGGCTGAAGACGTTACTATTAAGTGATTCGGGCAGCTATTGACTTCCTACGACTCTGGAGAATAGTTTTTTCTTACGTGTTGCATATCAAATAAACTCCATATTCAATTATAATTGATTTGAGATTATGTTGTTTTGTGTTTAACTTTGCAGACCTAAATATTTAGTGGTGAATGCAGATGAAGGTGAACCGGGTACATGTAAAGACAGAGAAATTATGCGTCATGATCCGCATACACTTATTGAAGGTTGTCTTATAGCTGGAAGAGCAATGGGTGCTAATGCAGCTTATATTTATATACGTGGTGAATTTTATAATGAAGCTTCAAATATGCAATTGGCTATTAGAGAGGTAATGATGATGACTTTTCTCTCTCTCTCTCTCTCCTTGTTTTGTTTGAGTTTACCACCTTACTTACTATTTCGCTACTGGTTATTGTACACGTGAGAGAAGAGGAATGTTAGCACTATAGTATTGGACAAGAGAGTATAATTATAATTAGTTGTTTTAAGGTTGATTACTTGGACAATATCACACTCCTGCAAGATATATTCTTTATTTTTATGATCTTAGTTGAAAGCTTACTGGAAAAAATATAGACGAATATTGTCATTTACTTGGGGATCAGAACTTAATACTTTTAATGTAGATTTCGTCGTCACAAACCAATATCGATTAAGGAGCATTGAAGACCAAGGAGCACTGGACAGCCGTCTCGCCCTACACTGGGAATCTTCAGCAGTGCAAACCCCAAGACCCACAAAATTTGGGAACTTTAGGTTATGAGACCAATCATGTTGTGACCGTTCAGCTACTTGGGCCGATAATCTTCACATTTACCGATAACAATATGCTTCTGTAGTCTCACTGGTATAGGCACTATCTTGATTATCAACCAGGTGGGTCACTGGTCCAAGTCTCTCTGCACTTACGAGGTTTAGACGGCCAGGTAATATCACTAGCTTTCACACAATAGGTGTGGCTTATCGCTGCTTTCATGAAAATGCAAGTGGATGTTGTATAACATTTTCTTCCTACCACTGTAGAAGTAAAAGAAAAGCTCTAGTTCAATTGTCCGGCCTCAAGGTGAATTCGTATATGTACTCAAATAAAAAGAATTAATTTAATAATTCCCATTGTAGCATTAAGAACACAATATTCAGCGGAGAGACTCTTTTCAACGAATTTATTATCAAGCTGTACAATCGTATATATATTGTTTTTAATAATAAATAATATCCAGTGAGGGAATTAGGTCAAAGGTGTGAATACATGAAATAATAATAGTAGTATGAAATGCAATTAAAATATTTGTGATTATAATCATAGTTTTATGTCAAGTGGCAAAACAATTAATGTCATATACATAGAATAATACATAAGGTGTATAGAATTTTGGAAAGGGGTACATAATTATAAGATTAGTAGACGAATATAAAATGTTACATAACAGGGTGTGAAATTTGATAAGAAAGAATTCAATATTGTAAAAATAAAAATATAAAAAACAATAATTTTGGGTTTAAAATGTCAAGTGGGTCAAGTGAAAAAATTCAGAGTGAGAATAGTGAAAATAATAATGATAATAATATTAATAATAATCGTAGTAATAAGGGAAGAGTACATAAAATAACTAAATAAACAAAAATAAATAAATGTTTATCCCTCTACGGCCAAGGCAAAAGTAGGGATTGTACATACTTCTTTTGTACACAAAGGTCTGGCTTAAAGTCATGAATTGCCAAGGCCTCAGCTGTCTTTAGAAGTCTGTAACGAAGAAAACGCGGGAAGTTAGCATGGATTCTATATATGATCTTGAAATCATGGTCAGGGTTGACAGAGTGACAGAAGTCGATCGGGTGTTCCAAAATAGAGCTTCTCACACACTTCCTTTCTCCCTTATAAAACCATGCTGGAATATGTTCTCGTATCCGTGTGGAAAGCGTCCTCTGACTACGGCCAATGTACCTTGCTCCATAAGAGCAGGTGAACTGATAGGTGCACATGGAGGCGGTCAGACGGGGGAGCTTATCTTTTACAGAGGTAGACGTTCACTAGCCGTAATTTGTTCTCTACTAATCTTATAATTATGTGCCCCTTTCCAAAATTCTATACACCTTATATATTATTCTATGTATATGACATTAATTGTTTTGCCACTTGACATAAAACTATGATTATAATCACAAATATTTTAATTGCATTTCATACTACTATTATTATTTCATGTATTCACACCTTTGACCTAATTCCCTCACTGGATATTATTTATTATTAAAAACAATATATATACGATTGTACAGCTTGATAATAAATTCGTTGAAAAGAGTCTCTTCTCTGAATATTGTGTTCTTGAAAACAAATAATACTAATATAATAGTGAATCACGATTTTCAGCTCAAACACAGTCTGCATATATTATAGCATTGTTCTCAGTAATCACCAGATAATATTGCATGTTTTTACCATCATCCTGATTTATAGTGGTTAGTCATTTGGATGGGGCTGTAATCAGAGTCATATGCCTATTCCGTCATTTCTAGTGGTGACTATATTCTATCAGTCAATTTGCAGTGTGGTCACCAAAACTAAAGACTAGACACATGGCTTTGAATAACCTCAAGCTATCAGTCAGTATAAAAGTATTGAATTCCTACAGACAGTTAATCGTGTTCCCGAACAACTCAGTGTTAACACCTCTGGCTGCTAAACTGTGAGTAGTGAGGAGAGCTTGAATCTCGGAGGCGAAACCATTCCCTTCAGTATTACAGATATGCCTCGCTAACGAGAGCCGATAACTATGAGAGGTAGATCAGAAGCTTCTGGTTGACTGCCGTATACCATTTAGCACTATTTCATCCACTATTCAGGCATAATTCTTACCATTATTGTTACTATTTATTATCTTGCATTATAGGCTTATGAAGCTGGTCTACTCGGCAAAAATGCCTGCGGTACTGGATATGATTTTGATGTGTATATGCATCGTGGAGCTGGCGCCTATATATGCGGTGAAGAGACTGCATTGATTGAATCGCTTGAAGGAAAACAGGTGTGTTGTGTTTATTATTGGATAACTTTTCTTCCCTACCTCTTTCTCCTTACATATTGACTATATGGTCTCAGTTAGTGTTCACGAGGCTAATAATCATTTGGTTTTTTCACAGTTATATGTACTATATTTGTAGTTCTGGTTCACAGTTGTGAACGATGATTACTATATTTTGATAATTAGCGGGATTATCACTATTTTAAGATCGTACTTCAAATCTATGTGATTCATTCGCTCATAAAGTAGCTAAATTGTTACATTTCAACCTCATTTGAAGTGATTCAGCAGTCTAAGTTGAGTCAGACTGAGTGTCTTATGGGGTCGATCCTAAATGAGCAAACCGACCGGCTGGTATTTTGACAGTATTTGGACGTGGCTAGCAAACACCTCTGGTTGACATGACTAGTTGGGAACTTCTCATATAAATCAACCGGTAGTATATACCTTCATTGTCTTCTAGAGGCAACTCATGAGAAATTAGTGGAATGAATGAATACAAATCATAAATCATTTAATAAGGTACCTACCTAGTTGAGTTGATTCCCTCTTACTCGGATGATTAGGTCACTAATTCTCTATCTTGGATCTTGGGTTCGAGTCTCACTCCACCAACTTCAACATGGGTTGCTATTTAGTATTATTATTATTATATTATAATTGTTTCCTTTAGTTCCTAGAGGAATATAGGGCTTCAGCCGCACGTCTCCATGGAGTTCGGTTCTGTGCCAACGTTCTTACCTGGCTCCACATCTGCCCACATGCTTTCATCTCCTCTTCACATGACCTCCTCCATGTCATTCTCTCACTGACGACCAACTAGCCGCTTTCCATTCGGGTTCTACTGGAGCGATGGCCTGGCGTGTAATGTCACTCACTTGATAGTTTGTTTTCTCAGAGTATGGCCAATCCACCTCCACTTCCTCCTGCGTGTTTGTTGCGTAATCGGTTTCTTATTGCTTTGCTCCCAGAAATCCCTGTTGCTGAACTTTTCTGGCCATTTGATCTTGAGTAGTATTGAGTGAAGACAGCTGTTGATGAAGGTCTGTAGTTTGCTCGAAGTGCACTTCTTGACACAGCGCCAAGTCTCTGATCTATGTAGTAAGTGGCACTGACTTCATATTGGAGTTGAAAATCCTGATCTTATTTTTTATGCTGAGTAGTGCTGTTGACCTCCACACAGAGACTCGAGAGTAACGAAAGCTTGTCTTGCTTTCCCGATCCTCACTTTGATATACTCATCAGTTCCATCTGCTTTTAGTTGAAACGATGCTTCCCAGGTAGGTAAAGGAGGTTGCTGCTTTCAGATTTCTCCCATTTATGCTAATTGTTGTCTGTTGTTGCTGTTGCTGTTGGTCAGGAATCTTCATCACCTCTGTTTTCTATATGTTCACCTCAAGTCCAATCTTTGATTCTTCTTTCAACTTGTTGCTTTTCGTCTGCATATCTTCCAGTTTGTGGGAAATCAAACATATATCACATCGGTGAAGTCCAGATCCTCCAAGGTTTTTGTGTGGGTCTATCTTATGCATGTCTCCTCGTTGCCCGCCGCTGTCTGTCGCATTATCCAGTCTATCGCCACGAGTCAGTAAAATCATTGGAGATAGTAGGCGGCCAGCTTGTCCTACTCCCGTCTTCACTTCGTCGAAGGATTCCGCGAGTTTCCCGTTGTGGGGATTACTTGGCACTCAGCATTATCGTACAACCGTTGAATGAGATGTATAATTGTTAGCGGCACTCTCAAACAATGTGTGTCTTATGAAAAATCTGCTTCGGCTAACTGAATTCAAGTGAAACATCCTGTATGGAAAGCATTTCCATTTCTGATAATGATGGTACTCTATTCAACCATGTATAAATGTCCAAGTAATGCTCATTGAGGTTTCTCTAATAGCGCTATTTTCGTTAATATCTGATAATAACAATTCGATGGCTGCTGGTAAGAATGGATAAATCTCAAGGAACTCTGACAACGAACCAAGTTAGGATCCATTGCCCAACAGATATGCCGAAGAAGATGGAGACGGATTAAACATGTATTTAAAACAAGCACCAAAAGGTGTTAGTGAAACAGGATCTAGTGAATTCATCAAATTTCGGTAGAACTCCTGCTCAGCTGGATACTCTACGTACACGGGGATATGAAATCAAGATAAAATACATTACGGTTCAGTTACACATCACTTGAATAAACAATTGGTTATCAGTGAGAGAAAGAACTTCAATATATCAAGAATAGCGAACTAAATAATATTGAAAATAACAGTAATGCTAATAATAGTAACAATAATAGTAATTTTCAATAGGTTGGCTTGTAAGGATTAAATTTACTTTTACGAGTTGGACCACAGATTGATATCAGTTAGAGAACCATTGAAAATCAGAGCTGGAGTACTGGACAGCTGTTTTATCAGCCTAGTATGGGAATCACCGGTAGTACGCACCTACACCAACTGGGGTTCAAACCCAGGACCTTCCAGTTACAAGGCAAGCTAGCTCCGTATACCATTCAGCCACTGGGACCCGATTCAATGGCCAGTCCATGAATTCTAACTTCTACCAATTCATGGTTTAGCGCGACCACCAACCAATGTCATCGGTTGGAAATCCATCGTCACACTTGACTGGTTGGACCTCACTGGTCACGACTTCTCACTAGAATTCGAGGAAACTCCGTCCTGTAGCAGGTCATTGCCGATGATTCCCAAACCAGTGCTCCCTGGTTTTCAATGGTTCTCTAACTGATATCAATCCGTGGTAAAACTCGTAAAAATAATAGTAATGTTAAAACAAGTTAAGATAATTGTAATGATAAAAGACAGTTTTAAATGAATCAGAAATAGTAATAATAAGAGGTCGAATAAACTCATAACAGTTAATAAGTGAGACATTGCCATGGTAGATTCACAGTGACCAACACCATTTCCTTTTGTACACAGAGATCTCGTTTATAAACTCGAATTGCACAACCCTCCGCAATTGCAAGCATCTTTCTGTCAGTTTATCTGCTGACTGGCAACAGTGAATGACTTGACAGCGTCAATATCATGTCCGTAGTCTACAAGATACTTTGTTTTTGAACTTTTATGCACTTTGACTTTGGCTCCGTCCTCCTTTATGTCTGTGAGACCTGGCCTTTGAGAGTAGAGGACATGAAAAGGCTAGCTGTCTTTGATCATAGGTGCCTGCGTTCTATCTCCCGTGTGAAGTGGAATGGTAGGATAAGCAATACTGAGGTTAGGCGTCGAGTGCTAGGCAAGGAGGGTAAATCAATCGACGAGGCTGTGAAGCTACATCGACTGAGATGGTTAAGACATGTGTTACGTATGCCTAGTCATCGCCGTCCTCGATGGGCAATGTCAGCTGACATAGGATGAATCAGGTTAGGAAAGAGCTAGCGGCGGTCAAACCAAAACATGGCAGCAGTCGATGAAATCCACAAAAGTTAGTTTAAGCCACGTAGGAAAATGTAGACTTCCTGGTTGGGGTCCTGGGGATGGTAAAATCAGTGGCTGGAGGCAATCGGTGATATGGCTCAAAATCGTTCTCAATGGCGCGAATGCATCCACTCCTTGTGACTTATAATTTCCAATTGAACTTTATTGTTCTTCATTATTACTATTCCTTTTGTCTCATATCTCTGTTTACTGTCACTATTTCCTTTTACTTTCTCTTGCTTTGTGTGTTACATGGAGTGTGGCGACTTGAACTACTGCACACTGGTGCAAAGTCGTATGTTGAAAAGAGACAGACAGACTTTGACTTTAGTTGTGTCTCCACATCACGTGAGTGGACAATCGCCTTTCTGTACGACCTATGTTTTCAAATACTACTTTTCAGAGACGGACAGATGCGATGAGGATATTTGGTTTTCAGAGTTACTTTTACGCAATCATATTTATCCGCTTAATTAACTTTTAATTTATGTGTTTTTTTCCCCAACTGCTAGGGTAAGCCTCGTTTGAAACCACCTTTCCCCGCGGATATTGGACTATTTGGTTGTCCGACAACAGTTACAAATGTTGAAACAGTTGCTGTCGCACCTACTATCTGTCGTCGTGGTGGTGATTGGTTCGCCAGTTTCGGGAGAGAAAGAAATCGTGGTACTAAGTTATTCAACATCTCAGGTAGGTAGATAAAGTTTCTTTTATTTTAAGAGAAACACAAGTTCCTTGCTATGAAAATGCCTTTACTACTTTCTCTTTAATAGATTGTTGCTACCATTAACTTGTGTGGAGACCTACTTATAATAATGATAACTGCTTTTATGTTACTTTGTTTGATGTGGGCTAACAGTGGGTGGCAGAATGCGCATTTCGTCCTGTTTGAAACTCGTCATCTGGATGTGCCCACATCATCAGTGAATGATACTCTTCCCACAAAGACTCTAACTCTGCATCTATTGTTTCAGACGCTGGAGCGTTATTCACTGCGCTAAACGAGAACCACTTCGTGTTCATCGAGTATCTGTTATTATTAATTTACTTAATTAACTAGTGCTAATATTATTACTACCTTTGCGTGTTTAACTTTGCGTGCTAAGATGTATTATATGGTCAGTAAAGCGGGGAAATCAATCAATGAGATTATCAGGTTAAATCGATTGGCATGACTAGGGAGGATATATGATACGCAGGGTGAGTCACTGCCTTCCTCAACAAAAATCAATCCATAATGTCGTTAGCTGTTGATTTGAGCCGCCTACTGATTGGTTTCAACATATAACTTTGCGTTGAAGTGCTGCAGTTCGTGTTACCACACTCAACGTTGCACACAAAGGAAGCCAACAGAGAGGATAAGAAGATTCAAAAGAACGACAATAAGCAGAAATATGAGGGAAAAAGAATAGTAATATAGAAGAACAACAGAGTTTCATTGGATATGACAAATCACAAAGAGTGCGTGAATGCATCTCCACCAACCACTGAGAACAGTTTTGAGTCATATCACCAATTGTCTCCAGCCACTGGTTTTTACCATCCAGACGACCCTAACCAGTGAGGAAGTCTGACAGCCCCTACGTGTCGGGCTTAGACTAACTGTTGTGGACTTCATTGATTGATGAAGCCATGTTTTGGTTTGACCAACACAAGCTCTTTTCCAAGCTGATCGATCCATCCTACTTCAGCTAACATTGTCAGTTGTCGCCTGGGCTCTGCGGTCACGCAACACTAACCCTCTCTCTGTTTCAGGTACCCGAAGAATCAAAGAACTTCCACGGTGTGGGCAGCCGGGAAGTAGCAACCGCCCACACACTTCCAAAAGCACACGAAGCCTATCTGAGTATCATTCTCTTCTACCCACATCATCTTCATCATCTTATTCCCCTACTACAGTCCGTACTATTCTTCAGGCTAGTGAGGCATCTTCACTTCACCCTGTGACCACAAATAACGATGAGAGCCATAGAAACACCCCAGATAGTCTTTTAAAGCCACGTCGCCAACTTCATACAGGAGCATTTAACGTCAGGACCCTCTGCCAAATCGGACAACAGGCATCATTAGCAAGAACTCTGGCATCTAGAGTCATGGATGTATGCTGTGTTTCGGAGACACGCATACAAGACCCGAGTGTGGTCATTGACTTAACCGCACCCGGCCAATAAGGTGAATCTACAAAATTCACTGTTAGAGTGTCAGGAGACCCCTCAGCTAGTTCGCGAGGACTCGCAGGTGTAGGGATAGCACTGAGTGTTAGGGTGGAAAAATCACTTCTTGACTGGATCCCAGTAGATAGTCGTATGCGTGCGGTCCGTCTGAACGGGTCCGTTAGAAGAAGGAAGGACGGCGCTACCCGTCGTTGTCTTTACATATTCTCCACTTACGCCCCAACCGACTGCAGTTCAGATGAACTAAAGGATGATTTCTACCTGAGACTGTATAATTTGCTGCGAAAAGCAAAACGTTCAGATATAGTTGTTTTAGCAGGCGACTTCAATGCCCAAGTAGGGAAGTTGTGCCAGACTGAGAAGTATGTAGGTGGTACGTATGGAGTTCTCTGCCGACGAACCGACAACGGTGATCGTCTTCTACGGTTCTGCTCACATAATCATCTGCTCCTAGTCTTTAGACCTGTCGGTCGAAAAAGGCGATGGCTAGACATGCCTGCGTAACACATGTCCTAACCATCTCAATCGGTGTACCTTCACAACCTTGTCGATTGACTTCCCTTCTTTATCCAACACTCGACGCCTAACCAACGCAACATTACTCACCCTATTACATCACCTAACACGAGAGATAGAACGCAGGCACCTATGGTCAAAGACTGCTAGTTTTTTCGTATTTCCCACTTCCTATGGCTTCGTCAAACTTACAGCCATAAAGGAGGACAGAGCGATCTGCTGAGTAGTACACACGCCCTTTGGTCGACAGCCAATCAGATATCACGTCTGCTAGGCCAGAGATAGTGTAAGTTGGAGTATATCAAACCAGCCTTTTGTATCCATGCTGAGATTCCGTCAGAGATCAACCCGCTGGTGTTGGCGGATACAACTTTCCGAATAAGTGAAGTGGTCAACACGCTCCACCAACCACTTCATTCCGTATCTTTAAGCTAGGAGTGAGTCGATGTAGTTCAGTCCTGTAGTACCATCATACACATAGCAGGAGCAAATCGCATGCCAAACATTTGAAGATTGTATTTAAAGGTATTCGCAAGACTGGATTTTGTCACAACCTTCACCTACATGGACAATATCATCCGCGTAATGTAATTAGTTGACAAAACTAGTCCTTGGGTGAAAAAAGTTAATCTCTAAGTTGCTAAAATCGTTTAGGGTCACTTCCTTAAGTACATCTCTGATGACATTAAACAGAAATGGGGACAATGGGTATGCCTAACGGACACCACACTAGTTATCATCACCTCTGGCGGGAACTCTACATAGGCTACTATCTGGTTGCATGAATTTGTGAGCCACATATAGATGCATTAACTGCCTGTCTGCCTAAAGTCCTCAAGACGTTGAGAACCAATAGTGCGTAGCCTGGCAAATTGTATAAAACAGTTATTTATTCATGCATAACACCAACTGTTTAGGCATGTGATTTAACTTTAATTGTGTTAATTTCATTATTTTAGAAATGTATGTAATCTTCAAGTACTGATTTTGTAGGGGTTTTGTTTGATTGGCTGGAGGATTTCATCATGAGCTGACATTGGATAGAAGACCATCGGAAAACCAGCTGGAAGTACTGAATAGCTGTTTCGTCCCAGTTTGGGACTCTCCTGGGTTCGAGCCCTGGTGGTGGGTACGTACTGATGAAGAGTTTCAAACTGGGACGAAAGAGATGTCCGGTACTCCCTGGTGGTTTTCCAATGGTTCTCTAACCGATGTCATCCCATGACGAAATCCTCCAACCAATATATGTAAAATCGTAAATAAGGCCTCATAAGGTGTGTGTGTGGGTGGGTGTACGTTTGTGTTTATTGTCTACTGTACTGTCAGTATATATATTTCTATATTTCACCACTTCTACTGTCTCCAGGACATGTTAATAATCCGTGTACTGTGGAAGAAGAAATGTCTATCCCTATGCGTGATTTAATTGAACGACACGCTGGTGGTGTTATCGGTGGTTGGGATAATTTATTAGCTGTTATTCCTGGTGGCAGTTCTACTCCATTATTACCTAAAGAGTAAGTTCATATATAATAATAATGATGATAATGATTTGCTTTATTCCAAAGTACTACTAATGATACATTGGAATTACGCCTAACACGTGCAATAGGAGTGATGCAATAAAATACTAGGTTACGAAATAATGAACTTATTTAAACGAAGTTTAGGCGGGAAAATCTAAGTTGAATTAAATAATTAATATGACCCGTTGCACAAGAGGTGGTGGCTCTCGTCGCCCAAGTGGTTTAGTTGATAACGTTTTGGAGTTTGAAACTACCGGCACTGGGTTTGAGCCTCTGTGGGAACACCCTCCCCTGGCTAACTAGTCCCAAATAGGACGAAATGTGCATCCTGATGGATTCCACTGCTAGTCACCACCCACCAATTGATTTGAGGTGTAGAAGTTATGTGACTAGCTTCATATGATTATAAGCCATAAATTGTGCTCGAAACGCCATCAGTAAATAAATAATACTGTAGCATGGTGTGGCAGTATATTCTACCACACTATCCATGTTCTATCGTTATATTAATAAAAACGTCATTGATTTATGCAAACATTAACTCACTGGATACAACACAGTTAAGTTCGACGGTTGAATTTTGTCACAAACCGATATTAGTTAAAGAAACACTGGAAACATTTGTTTCGTCGTAGCATGGCACTCTTCATCAGTTTCCTCCTCACAATTATTCCACCAGCCATCAAACCCTAAGAGCTTTCTTTAGGTTACATAACTATCCTTTTCACTATTCAGTAGTCACCTTTCTGGAAATTAACTTAACGCATGATTTCTCACTCTTGTGAGTTCATGATGCAGCGCCTCTACTATTCAGTGACACTAGCGAATATCTGTCCTCACACTCAAGGTTGATATAAACGATAAGAATAATATCTGTTCGGTTTTTCGATAAGGACTCCGAATTTGATAATAATGCTGCAACTAGGCTTCAGTATGCGAAGGTAAAAAGTAAATCGTTTGAAGACCGAATAACAAATGTCGGTATCCAGTCGCTCTTGACCCTGCAGAGTCCACATAAATAAAGACAGAAGACGGTAGAATGGTCTGAGGCGGTGAGAACAATCGATCCTTACTATACAAAAATACATCATGTACAGATATTACTCACGGTGGAAAGTTAAACCAGCTAAATAACTAATTTAATTGGCTGCACAGGTGTTCGCGCTTTTTAATTGTCCAATCGCATTCTAAATAGTATTCTACCTTGGCCTGCAAGTTTAAATTTGTTCAGATCGGTTTTGCCCGCTTCTGTTCAGAAGTGCTGAAAATAAATAATAAAAGCCATACACTGAGCAGTCCTGGATCCCGATCCCTGATGATCTCGTAGGAGTGCACTGATGAAGAGTCCCAGACTAAGACAAGGCAGCTTTCCAGTGTTCCCTGGTTTTCGATGACCTCTAATTGATGTTTGTTCCTGATGAATTGTTATTATTAGGCTGAAATCAACGTATTACTGCATATAACACAAGAGTTTGTTACCAATGGGTCCACTGACTAACTAAGTAACTTGTGTTAAGGATTTTTCTGTAACAGATAACGAGCTCTGTAAATGTAAATAGATGTGATTACTGTTGGATGCATGTTTTAAAAAAATTGTGTACAATTGCTAGAACTAGTGTAACAGTAGACGACAGAAGGCGCTTATTAACGGGATGTTTATTTGGGATTTGCTATCTCTATTATTATTGTTGTTCCCTTGGGTTCCTAGTGGAACATAGGGCTTCAACTGCACGTCTCCACTTGCTTCTGTCTTCTGCTGTTCTTTTCACTTGCGTCCATGTTATTCCTAGATTACTAGGTCACTAGTATTCTAGCCGGTCCCAAGCCCGGATAAAGAGGGAGGGTTGGGGCGTGGTGCTAGCAACTCCACCCCCAAAACTTAACCAAATCGCTACTAAAACTTCAACGCACAAATATATCTCTATATAAGGAAATTATATATATCTTATATCAAAATTGTCCTTTGCACAGATCTTCTGTGTTGTGCTACTTCTGCCCTTCGTGTATTGTGTGTTTCTTTGTCTTCTTTTCGTGTCTTCCGTGTTTTGCTGCAACACTGGGGAAAATCAATCGACGAGGCTATAAAGTTACATAGATTGAGATGGCTAGGTCACGTGATGCGCATGCCTAGCCATCGCCTCCCCCGACGGGCATTACTAGCTGATATAGGTGAGGGTTGGAAAAGATTAAATGGTGGCCAAACAAAAACATGGCATCAATCCATGAAATCTTTGACAGTTAAACTGAGTCAGGTAGGGAGATGCAGACTTCCGGGTGGGGGCCCTCGGGACTGTAAGAATCAATGGCTGGAGACAATAGGTGACATGGCTCAAAATCGTTGTCAATGGCTTACGCAGATGTATTCAGTTTCTGTAATCTTTCATATTCCTTTCTACCATTACTCATTCTGTTTCACTCTTATACTTGTCAAAACTCTATTGATTCTCTTCACTCATCTTCTTGTCTACCTTTGTGTGCTCTTTGGGACGTGGCAACTCGAAGTGCTGCACTTCGGTGGCAAGTTCTATGTTGAATCCAGACAGACAGACTGGTTCAATAGCTTTCGTTGATGTCAGATCTATCTCTTTGGTGTTTGATATTTTTGTGCCGACAAACGTCTGTTTATATACTACTGATAAACCTTGTCAGTAGCTCACGTCACACTAGTACTGCATTTGTTAACCAGGGAGAAGAGATGAAACGATGTGAAATTAATTTAACGTATTACTGTCATTGTTATTATTACTTTTTCATTCCTCTGCTCTCCGAGAGAAACATAAGGCTTCAAACTTTAAGCTCTGTGTGTTGTTTCCACAGGGTGAGGTTGCTAGTCTCACTCCCAACGTCCCCTTTTTTCCGTGCTTGCTACTGACAAGGTGAAGTGTGGGAGTGTATTGACCAAATATTCAACCCGAAAGACTTGAGTGGCGGACGACACACTTTTACTGTTAGTGCTTTGCGTATTGTCAAGTGTCGGGTTGTAGAAATTTGTTTAATATTATAAGATGTGAGATTTCGTCATGAATTTAATCCTTTCCATCCAACACTTAATAATTCATTCGCTGGTGGCCAAACAAAAACATGGCCTCATCAATCCATGAAATCCTTGACAGTTAAACTGAGTCAGGTAGGGAGGGAGATGCAGACTTCCGTGTTGGGGCCCTCGGGACTGTAAGAATCAATGGCTGGAGACAATAGGTGACATGTCTCAAAATAGTTGTCAATGGCTTACGCAGATGTATTCAGTTTCTGTAATCTTTCATATTCCTTTCTACCATTACTCATTCTGTTTCACTCTTATACTTGTCAAAACTCTATTGATTCTCTTCTCTCATTTTCCTGTCTACCTTTGTGTGCTCTTTGGGACGTGGCAACTCGAAGTGCTGCACTTCGGTGGCAAGTTCTATGTTGAATCCAGACAGACAGACTGGTTCAATAGCTTTCGTTGATGTCAGATCTATCTCTTTGGTGTTTGATATTTTTGTGCCGACAAACGTCTGTTTATATACTACTGATAAACCTTGTCAGTGGCACGCGTCACACTAGTACTGCATTTGTTAACCAGGGAGAAGAGATGAAACGATGTGAAATTAATTCAACTTATTACTGTCATTGTTATCATTACTTTTTCATTCCTCTGTTTTCCGAGAGGACTTCAACCTTTAACTCTGAAGATACAGTATCAGCGGTGTGTTGTTTCCACAGGGTGAGGTTGCAAGTCTTACTCCCAACCTCCCCTTTTTCCCGTGCTTGCTACTGACTAGATGAGGTGTAGGAATGCATTGATCAAAAATCGAACCTGGGAGACTCGGGTGGTCGATGACACACTTTTACTGTTTACTGTGCTTTGCGTATTTTCAAACGTTGGGTTGTAGAAATTTGTTTGATATTATAAGATGCCAGATTTCGTTATGAATCTGATCCTTTCCATCGAACACTTGGAAATTCATTCACTGCTCATTAGTGACTGACTATGCTATGAGATAGGCTTCCTGGAGTTCTAATAACCCGTTAGATCCATTAACTCCGGTTTAAGAACATATACTCACTAATGACATTGGGAGGCTATGACAGAGTTAAAATTCATGGGTCATTGGATTCTGGCCCAGTGGATAGATGGTAATGTTCTCACCGGGTAATCTGAAGTTCCTGGATCTATCGCCTTGTGGCGTCTCCTGTGCACACTGCTTAAGATTGCTTCATTGTGACGAAATAACTGCCGAGTACTCCTGGATTCTTTAACTGATATCGATTGGGTGATAAGTCTACTTTGAAATTACCTCTTGTATTAACTAACCTGTTTATTCTCAATTTCTTTTATGAAACATTTTAATATTAATACACATCATTTATCCATCTTTTCCAGTGTATGCAGTACTGTCCTAATGGATTTTGATGCTTTAGTACAAGCGAATTCTGGTTTAGGTACAGCAGCATTGATTGTCATGAATAAGTCAGCTGATGTGGTCAAGTGTATTTCACGTCTTATCAAATTTTATGAACATGAAAGTTGTGGCCAGTGTACTCCATGCCGTGAAGGATGTCGTTGGATGGGTCAAATAATGGGCAGATTTGGTAAGCATATATATATATATATATATATATATATATATATATAAAGTTTTTGAAGAGAGTCACTCTCCACTGACTTCCTTCTTTGTGTGCAATATGCGTTTCTCCAAGAAGTGGGATATTCTAAATCTTTTTTTATTCTTTCTCGTTCTCAGTGGAACATAGGGCTTCAAGCTAGAGGCTTGAAGTTTCTGTAGCAGTGGTGATTATTTTTACAGGATGGGGTTGCTAGCCAGCCTCATGCCCCACCTTTCCTCTTCACCAGTCTTATTATTGACTTAGCGAGGTAAAGGAGTGTGTCGGTGGCCGGGGATTGAACACCGGACCATGTGCATGGTTGGCGAGCGTCCTAACCTCTGTGCCACCGACATTCAAAAGATGTGCCGTGTTTCCAATGACAGAAAAAACATGTAACTCAGCTATGCAAGCCCTGTGGATGCCTCTAAGCAAATGACAGTCTTCAAGATAAAATATCTCAGACTTGTAGTTGATGACTCCATCTATAACGACGTCGTGTAACTGCTGTGTGTTGTGTCGTAGATTGTCGTAAGTTGAATTATTGCGTTTACAAAGGGTATTTGGATGATTAAATGGTTATTTTAAGATGTAAGGGTTTCGCACTCTGATGCTAAGGAACCTCTAGCTGTGATAAAGTAATGGATTGAGTACTCCTTTGGTTCTCAGTGGTCGTCAATATGATGTGAATTCGTGGCGAAATCTAACTTAAAGCAGGTTAGTCAAGATAAGTTAATCGCTGATGATGAAATTTGTAGTCTTTCTTGTTGTTAATAATGTAGGACTAACTATTTTAACTTCTAACAGCTTACTCCACGGTGGAGCGTGCACTAGAATCGTCTTCACATGCATTTACTAGTGGCCCAGTGGTAGGAATGCTCGCCATCCATGCTGAAGGTCCAGGTTGGATACCACATGGACAAACCCCCTAAACTTTGCCTAGTTTATCAGCCAATATTTAACCTAGAAAAGGGAGAGTTGAAAACATTTATTTCCCGATACGAATTTAAAACAAGCAGTAAAGGTTAATAAAACAGGATTTAATGAATTCATCAAATTTCGGTAGAACTCCTCTTCAGCTGAATACTCTACATACACGGATATATATACTTTTGAAATTACATTGGGAGATATAGGACTGATAAGTAAATAAATAAACTACATTGAATAAGTCATGCAGAAAGACAGGTGCGAATGTTTTTCCAGGTCATGTTCAATTAGATAAGGGGAGAGAGAGTATGGGAGATCAAAATTAAGATAAATTGCATTACGCTTCAATTACATCACTTAGATAAACAATTAGACATTAGAGAATTTAACAAGAATTGCAACCAGAGGGATTTCAATAGTAATAGTTACAATAACAACAATAATAATAGTGTTGAAGTGAGTTAAGGTAATGCTACTGATAAAGGATAGTTTTAAATGAATCAAGAATAATAATAATGAAAATAATAATAGTAATAATAAAATAATAATAAGAGGTAGAATTATAAGTAAAACGTATTACCATGTACACAGAGACCTGGTTTGTAAACTCGAATTGCACAAGCCTCTGCAACTGCAAGCATCTTCTTGTTTCCTTGTCTGCTGACAATGGTGAATGACTTGACTGCGTCGATATCATGCCCGTAATCCACAAGACGCTTTGTTATGGAGGATTTTGGCACTTTGCACTCAGCTGTTTTCAACCATTTTGGTAAATGTTCCATCATGCGAGTAGACAATTGCCTTTCCGTACGACCTTATGTATTTGCTTCCACAAACACACTCAAATTGATATACGCAGTTTGAAATGTCGAGGATTGGCGACTGGTCTTTCCCAGATTGTTGAAGCAATCGCTTAGTGCTGTAGTGGTGTGGTTCAACAGTGGTGGTGTAGTGCTTCAACAATCTGTTTGGAGGATTTCATCATGAGCCGACTGACATCAGTTAGAGAACCATTAGAAAACCACCTGGGAGTACTGGACAGTTGTTCCGTCCATTGGCAGAAGTTAGAATTCATGGGTTGGACATTGGATCGGGTTCCAGTGGCTCAGTGGTCTACGAGCTCGCTAGCCTTGTAACCAGAAGGTGCGTACTGCCGAAGAGTTTCAAAACTAGGACGAAACAGCTGTCTAATATTCTCAGGTGGCTTTCCAGTGGTTCTCTAACTGATATCATTTAGCTCATGATGAAATCCTCCAAACTATTCCTCGTGGTTTTCAAATCTGTACTTCTTTACAAATGATTTTTTTCTCTCTCTCTGTAGTCTTGTTGTTGAAACATTATTTTAAATAATTAAAAAAAATAATTTAAATGTATTATGCATTCAGTTCAAGGTAAAGCGCATAAAAATGAAATTGATATGATATGGGAAATATCGAAACAAATGGAAGGACGTACAATCTGTGCTTTAGCCGATGGAGCTGCGTGGCCTGTTCAAGTTAGTGTTTTGTTTTTACGACACTTATTTATTATTATTTGTATATTATTCATTTTTTGTGTTCTGGGTGGGACTTAGTGCCTCAACAACGCATCTTCACTTTACTCCACTGTCCTCTTTAGCTAGCTTACCCCACGATTGTGCATAGTCTATCGTCTCCTCCTCGCACGTTCTCCTCCATGTCACCATCGCACTAACGACCAGTTCATCGTTTCACATTCGGTTTCTACTCGACCGATGGTCTAACATGTGATGTCATTCAACGGTCTCCTCAGTGGTGTGTGCCCTATCCATCTCCATTTTCTTCTACATATTTCATGAACAATAGGTTCTTGGTTGGTTTGTTCCCAGCTGGGGTTTGTTGTTGCCGATTCTTTTTGGCCGGCCATTTGTTCTTCATTATGGAGCTAGGAAAGGCAGTTGTTGATACCTGTTGTTGTTGCAACCTGTTGGAAATGTTTTCTGTGACGCGCGGTGCGAGTTTCTGACCGGTATAGAAGCACTAACTAACTTCACATTTGTGTTGAAAATCCGAATTTTGTCCTTTATACTGTGGAGGGCAGAAGATTTCCAAACTGATTTCAGAGTGATGAAGGCGTATTTCGCCTCTCCACTTCTGGTTTCGATATCTATCAAATCTCTACCGTTGATAGTGATTGGTGCTTGTTGTTGTTGCTCTTGATCGGTTGGTTATCTTCATCACCTCCGTCTTCTCTGTGTTCACCTGCAGTCATGTTTTCTCTGCCAGCTTCTTCTGCCAGTTTGTTGGTTTAGCTCGTAAGTCTTCGAGTTTGTGTGACATCAGACATAAATCATCTGCGAAATCCAGATGTTATAGAGTCTTCTTATCGGTCCAACGTATTCCTGTCTTCTCAGTAGCACATACTAATATGCTGAAAAACTAGTTATTATGTTAGGTGGTTGGAGTCAATCGGCGAGAAGCTCTGGACTCAGGTTTCATGCTCGTTGACGCTAGTCAGAACGGCATATCTACAACCTCGATGGAAATGATATCTCCTCTGGGATTCACATTCACCTCACCTAATGCTGTAGTCAGAGACTTTATCACTGAGCTATTGCGGCTCGCGATTGACCTCCTGTAGGACTCTATTGGATATTTGGTTTTGATTGAGCACTAGTAAGTAGTGTGACGTGTCTAGTCCTTTCTTTGGTGCAGACTGAATTCTATCAGTTAGGTTTTCAATGTGGCCGAAGTTATTTCCGGTTTCCTGTCATCTGATTATACTGAATTGAAATACTCGGTCTGTGTTATCACTTTGACGTTTGAAATGCTGGATGCTGAGTTCAAGTTCCTGTGAGGACACCACCACCTACTAGGAATGCAAGCACATCCAGCTGGCGAATACCAACCAAATACATTATTGATATAAAACTTGGGCACTGTGGTGGTAGAGCATAACTCCATTATGGATAAGATTTTATTTTGATAAATCACACAGTGTTATACAGTAATATTTACTGATGACGTTTCGAGAACAAATCATTGCCACTCATATTCATATCAAGTCAGTCACACAACTTTCTTGCTTCATTTGTGTACTTGAGTAAAAATTGATGAATGGACATTTGAATAAAATCAATATAAGATAAAGTACATTCAGAAATAATAATATTAGTGTTATTGATCACATACCATAAGATGGGAAATAAGATGTTTTTTACAGTAAAATAAATAAATAACTTGTTAGAATGTTATAATGTGAATTGAATTGACTACATTTTAACATTATTTATCGTCTTCTGATTTGACTGGTGGTGATAGTATCTTCCATACATATCTGTGGTACTTGCGTTGATTCACTTCTATTGCATGTGTTGGATGTAGATTATTCGATGAACCAGGATTCGGTAATCAATCTCTTTCTCCACCTACATAGATTACTTCTTAGAATCTTAACCCTCTCCCACCATGCTATTGTGTGGTTATGTGTTAATGCATGCAGTGCTACTTCTGTGTTTTTTCTAAATTACTTATCTTCGTGGGATCAATCATTCTAACCTTAGCTAAATTCGTATGTTCTGATAATCTCACTACAAATGATCTACTAGTTTGACTGTCATATATAGTTGACCTAACTCACAGTCATTGCAAGTTGTTTTGTGAATTATATTATTTCGTTTAATTAGGTCAACCTACAGGGTCCTTTAACCAACAGAGCTTGTCTTTGAGTGAGTTTGTAGGTTTAGGGGCCATCCTAACTGCTGCTTTATTGAGAATCCTACGTAAGGAAGGTCTCAGATGTCCTCTCCTGATGTGGTAAAACTACTATAGATGCCTTATATTCTCTCTTATTTATGTTATCATTATTAGTGGTAGCTTTACTATTATTTTTATTTTGCTTTTGACCTTTTTTGATCTGCTTAATGAATTTTATAGGATAGTTAGTTATTGAACACCAACCAGCTACTCCTCTTTGTTTCATTTCATTATTTAGGTTTTTTGTTGTACCACTTAGTGTTGTTATTGCTCGGTTTGTTAGACACTTAAAAATTAAGCCTTCCTTCACAGACAGATATTTAACGGATGAGATGAATTAATGTGTAAATGTCTATTAGCGGAATGCGTGTGATGAAACGTCCTCTCTCTGGATTCGACTGCTAATCACTACCAACCAAAAAATAACAAACAACTGATTCTCATTCTTGTCTTTTCTGTTGTTTGTTTTTCTACGTTTCAGGGTCTTATTCGACATTTTCGTCCTGAATTGGAGGCAAGATTTGCTAAACACGGTTTAGAATTACATCAACCACCGAAAGCTCAATCATCTGTCAATTATTAACCCCTATGATATAATTCTCTTTCGTTTTCACTTGTGTTTATTATTATTATTAGAGGTTATTTTAACAAAAGGAAAAGAAAAGAATTCATGTTTCTGTACTTACCAAAACTAGTTTCCTTTATTTTGCATATAGCTTAATAGTAGATTGGTATTTTTGAAGAATAACTGTGAATTGTTTTCTCCTTCAAGCTCCACCTTTTCTCTCTCGATATGCTCTCTCTCCTTCATCTCTCCCCTGTCTCTTGCCTTCTTGTCTGTATGTATATGAATAAGATGAGTCTTGAGTGTGATAAATTCACCCTAAACAGTCAGGATTATTGATTACTTGTGAATAAATTGAGTGACTAGCGTTCTTTTCTTTTTTTAATCTATCCATCTTTCTATAAAGGAAATATATTGACAGGAAATAAACACTGTTTCAGTTTCCCTTTCGATTGTGTGCGCTTTTCTTTTTTTCTTTGCGTACAGTTGACCGTCGGCGAACATCTGCCGTCTAAAATTTAGGAGAGCTGGAAAACTGCGGCCTCCAGAATCCGATTGCATCGAATGATGTCTGAACCTGTTTTGGTGATCACTGGGGATCATGATAGGAACTAAGCTCCTGATGCTGCTGCATATTGGGAAACAGATTTCAAAGAAGTCAAAGACTTTGTTTGAGTGTAGTCCCTCAAAAAACAACCACCACCTACTTTGATCTTGGTGTCTGGGCTGCATCTCAGCCGTTGCACAAATTTATGAGTTAACAATCAATGAGAGGCTACTACAGTCGCGTTCTCATTATCGATTGATTGTCAACCAAATAGATTATGGGCTCGAATCCCTTTCCCTATATAAATATGCATATATATACATATTTCAGGTCAGGCAAACGAATAATATCACACATCAGTGTAACATGTAGTAGATAAAGAGATATAATAAAAACATAGTGAAAATCTCCATTTGGACATTTGGAAAACGAAAGCGAATTGAGTGAAAAAAAATATTCACTTTTCAGGGATTCAAGCTTCACCATTTGTTGAAATCAGTTATAAAGAACCATTGAAAACCATCGAGTACAGACTGAGCAGCTATTTCATCCCTGCTTAGGACTCTTCATCAGTATGCACCCATAATGCTGCTGCTGCAGATCGAACGTAGGATGTTTAGAGGTTACAAAGCAAACTTGTTGAACATTCAGTCAGTTGAGATAAAATCCAATGGCCAGTCCATGAATTTTAATTTCTACCAATTTGCGATATATACTGCCATTGCCAGCCTCCTTTACGTTGCCAGTGGAACATAGGGTTTCGAGCTAGAGACTTGAAGTTTCGGTAGCAGTAGTGTTTATTTTTACAGGATGGGGTTGCTAACCTCATGCCTATCCTTCCCTCTTTACCAGTCTTATTACTGGCTAAGCGAGATAAAGGAGTGCGTCGGCCCGGGATCGAAAGCCGAACCACATGCGTGGTTGGCGAACATCCTACCTTTTTGCCACCGACGCTCGCCAGCCAGTGTCATCGATAAAAGTCGAGTTCAATCAAAGTGGAAATAGTTACTTTTCAATTACATTCACATCAGTTGGTCTGCTCCAATAATGCAGTACGGAGTTTAGCTATCCGGTGGGGACAAGTTTGTCACCAATGTCAACTTGTCAAGCGGGAGTGATCAATAATCGAGATAATTGGTGCAAGAATTTAAGGGTAGAAATATTTGTGAAAATTATAGCGAGTGGTTAAGTAATGCGTGGTTTATATGTTTATCTAGGAAGCACGGTTTCAACCACATTGGAAGTGGATGAGGATGTCAAAGTCAGCATCGGAAAGGCAAGAAACGCCATCACCAAGCTGAAACCAGTTTGGAAATCTGTTGCACTGATTCAGCATGAAGAATAAGAATCGGATTTTAAACACAAACGTGAGGTCAGTCAGTTCTGTTATGCGGGTCAAAAACTTAGCCAGCGTGTCACGAATAGGATTTCCAACAAGTTACAGACTGTTATCAACGGTTGCCTTCTCTGGCTCCATACTGAAGATGAAATGGCCAACCAGCTGACCAGAAAGAATTAGCAGCAAGAAACTCTGACTAGGAACAAACCAACAGGCGAGAGCCGATCGCTGAACAAATATGTAGTAGAGAATGGAGATGTATCGGGCACACGTTGAGGAGGCCGTCGAATGACATCGCGCGGAATGCAGGCCATGGCTTGAGTGGAACTTAAATGGGTAGGTCATCAGTGCGAGGGTGACATGGAGGAGATTGTGTGAAGAAGAGATGAGAGTTTAAGCAATCGTGGAACTAGGCAGCTGAAGAGGACGGCAGAAAATAGAAAAAAGTGGAGATGTGTTGTTTAAGCCTTGTGTTCCACTCGGAACCCAAGGGAATAATAATAATATAATATCAAGGAGAATAAGTGAGCAGTCAAATTATTAAAATCGATTATATCGAAAGAATTAACGATGAAATGGAGAGTATAAGATACCTAAAATAACAATAATAACTTGTAAATACTGTATTTATTATTATTGTTTCCTTTAGTTCCTAGAGGAACATAGGAATTCAGCCGCACGTTTCCATTGCGCTCGGTTCTGCGCAAACGTATTTTGCTTAGGATAGACAGGAGCAGTTCTTGCATTGACTATACGATAAGCTCTTCAATGTGTCACCTCGTCTCCAGTAATTCTCTTCTTGTCCAAGAACCGAATAACTGCCTACTAACTGCAGTGTGTGTATACATTACCGAATGGTTTGAAACTTGGATGAAATTTCTGTCCAACAGTGCCTAGCTTTCAGCGTTTCTTCTAGCTGGCTTGGAAGTTTCTTATCACATCTGGTTGCATAGTTCCCGAAAGTGCACTTTTTAGTGTCTACTTTGTACATTTTTTTGGAATGCAAGTGATACTTCTTCAACTTGATAGCTCAGGAATTTATAGGTGTAATTTTAGATGTTAGAAATGATTTGTTCCCTTTTAATGGTTAGTTTCAACACAATTCAGAATCTACTACAGAACAAGAGCTGTTTTCTAGTTTAGTCTGTTTACTTGTGAATATCCACAACTGTCAGTGAAACGGAACACCAGATTATTAGCTTATCCGATAGAAACACTACCATTTGATCACTGGGTTCTAAGCTAATAGTTTGTAGGCTGTAACCTTCTATGTTTCTCACGCCCCTATTATCCAATGGCTTTGGTGAGTTTCTGTCTTTACGCTCCACTTTTTGGATTCAATGGATGGTTTTTTTAAATATTATAAATCCACCTTTAGTTGGGTTAAAAATGAGTATGTTATGACTGGAATTACGACCTAGTAGACTATCAGCGAATATGAGCTTTATGAGCTGGCTAATCTGTCCTAATCGCACGTTAGCAGCAACAAAAATATCACCGGGTAGCAAAAAGACACAAGAGAAGGCTGGACATTGGTAAGAGAGCTTTCACTATCTCCAAACAGTAGTCGAAAATGTTTGTCAGAGCCTGAGTATATATATATATGTTTAGAATGACCTTGAGGCGCACTAATGCCATTGATAAATTAAGACAGGGAACAACCAATAGGATTTCAAAGGTCATATGTAGGGTGAGAGGAATTCAGGTAATGAACCAATAAGCGGGGGTGAGAGAAATACAAACAGAAGTGACATGCAGAAAAATAGGTCTGTGTATATATCAGAGTATGAGACTGATTTGTCGATGACAAGTGTTCCAGACACCTTATTTATTGAAGATTTATTCCTGTATAGATACTGAATCTGTAAGCCCAAAAGAGATCATTTTTGCAAAGATATCAGTTATCGAAAATCTTTCCATAAATTCTAACATCTCTCTAAAGGATACTGTAGAGGGGGTCGCATTTACCATCTCTTTTTGAATATGCGGTGAAGATGCGCATTCTTAAGCTACTGATGATTTTAGCACAGAGAAGCTCAAATCAGCGCCCTCTTTCACCTAGATATGGCCGGATTTTTCTCAGGTACCAAAGACGCGACTGGTTGTTCAATAACGTATTAGACTCTACTGCTCTCCCTAAAATATCTACAGTGTGCGGTCCATTAAAGTCGATAAATAAATGAAGCAGATGAACAAGCAGATAGATTAATTATTTAACTTAAATTTATAGTTGATCCAGACCAATATTGTCACGTGATATATATATCACGAGGAAATATTCGTGCCTTCGCTTGTGATATTCAAAAGGATCTACAGATTGCCATCACTTATGACTAATAACGATAATGTTTCTGTACTGTGAATCAACCAAGAACATTTCAGTTTGTAAGTCAAATTCTAAGGCGTCTTGTTTGAGTAGAATCACCCTCTGAATACATTTATAATAAAATAAAATAAAAATAATGGTGCAGACTGGTAGCTCAGATGGATGATATTCAATTATCTGGTTAGTTTAATTGCGCAGCTTTCATAGTCCACCGACTAAACAACATCTTCAGCTCAGGTAGTAGTATGGAATGGAGTTATTTGAATTCCCCATGAATGATATAACTGTATCTCCTGACAACCACTGTCGTGACTGGATGTTAATTTGAACTTTCTTGCCATGATTGTGTTCAAAAGGAATGAATATCGATACAATTTCATCAAAAAATGTTTTAACTTAAATCGAATTTAGAGATTGCAAGTATCGACGTTCGCGAGTTGTACGGATTATACTGACGCAAGATCTTATACCAACAACTTCTATAGTGTTCGCTCTTCGAGTACGAGAGATAAAGCAAAAGACCAGATTTAGCTGTCCAAAGTATGCAATATATTTCGGGACCAAATCGTGGGTAGAAGTGAATGCTTAGCTAGCTAGTAATCGTGCACGCACGTGACACGACGGAGTACCAAATGGCGTGGATGCTTGACTGAAAGCCTTCAGCTAAACAAGTCGACCTAAACAGTGAGGGTCAGCATCCAATGTTGAGTGATGATTGCTGTGGTCAATAATTTTGGGGAATCATATACCGCTACACGAAGTACCAACAAGAAACCATCCTTAAGGACTACAGGAAAATTCACCATACCATATATGATGAATACCTCTAAAATAATGGCAAGAATACGAAGACTATTTGAAATAAACATATCACACAAGTGGACGCAATCACTGCATTCAGTACTGTACAAACCAAAAAATCCAACAGAAAAAGAAGATAAAATTAATACCACTGACAAAACAAATTGCATGTATCAACTGCGATAAACATTACATCGGTCTAAGAAGTGGGCGTCCCTTACGAATCCAAAACCAAGAAAACAAATCAGCTGTGAAAAGACATGATATATATTCCTGTTTCATATCAATGCATGTGGATAATTATGGACACCTATTTGATGATTGGGATACTGTCGAAGTTTTAAATAGAAGAAACACCAAAAATAATTCCAAGGAATTCCTAGACGCCTGGTACTCAAATTAATTAGCAGTTAACAAACAAATTACTGCTTTGGACCAAATTTACCAACTAATAAAAAGTGAATCACATGACACGAAAGTTCGAATTCCGAGTCAATAAAAAATGATCAATATAGATATAAATCAACTACCAGTCACGACAGTGGTCACCAGGAGATACCGTACATGACTCGTGGAAAATTCAAATAAGTTTATTTCATACTAAAATCTGCGCTGAAGATGTTGTTATCTAGAAGGTGGACGAAGAAAGCTTTGCAATTAAATCAGCTAGGAGCTCAGAGAACACAACTAATTCAATATGAAATCAAGATGCTAACATTACAAATCTTTGGTGAGTATCATGCGTCCTTTTTACTTCAGATTTCTGTGACACTAAAGCGTGTAATTCAAGGAAAATGCCAAATATCGTATAACTCACTTTCCAGGCATTCATTACATAATCAGGAACATATAGCGAGGCCATAATGATGCATTACATCAATACACCAAAATATTAAGTTAGCAATAGGACTAGATGTTGTCTTTGTTGGATACAATATATGGAGTGTATAAGTACTTATTTAAAGGGGAGAACACAGAGATCTCTATGAGCAGTATTGTTTATTCGAGGAAGTTAAATAAAAAAAACATTTGCAATTTTAACAGTCGGGATTATTATTATTATTGTTTCCTTTAATTCCTAGAGGAACATAGGGCTTCAGCCGTGCGTCTCCATTGCGTTCGGTTCTCTGCTAGAGTCTTCACCTGGCTCCAAGTCTGCCTACATGCTTTCATCTCCTCTTCACATGACCTCCTCCAAGTCACCCTTGCACTGACGACCAACTCGCCGCTTCCCTTTCGGGTTCCACTCGAGTATTGGCTTGTCTAGTGATGTCACTTGATGGTTTGTTTCCTCAGAGTATGGTCAATCCATCTCTATTTCTTCCTGCATATTTGTTTCACAATCGGTTCCTGCTGTGTTGGCTAGCTCCCAGAGATCTCTGTTGCTGATCGTTTCTGACCGGCCATCTGATCTTGAGTATTGAGCGAAGACAGCTGTTAATGAAGGTCTGTAGTTTTTTTGAGGTGCTCTTTATGACGCGCCAAGTCTCTGATCCGAATAGTAGCATTGATTTCACATTGGAGTTGAAAATCCGGATCTTATTTTTGATGCTGAGTGCTGTTGACCTCCACACAGACTTGAGAGTAATGAAAGCTTTCTTTGCTTTCCGGATCCTTGCACTCTGGTATCCTCATCAGTTCCGCCTGTAGTTGAAACGATGATTCCCAGGTGAAGAAGGTTGCTTCTCTCAGATTTCTCCCATTATGCTGATGTTTGTCTGTTGTTGTTGTTGTTGTTGCTGTTAGTGGTGTTCCCCAGGAATCACCTCCGTTTTCTCTTTGTTCACCTAAAGTCCTACCTTTGATGCTTCTTCTGCCAACTTGTTGCTTTTCACTTGCATATCTTCCAGTTTGTGGGAAATCCGACATATATCATCGACGAAGTCCAGATCCTCCAAGTTTTTTGTGTGGGTCCATTTTATGCCTCTCTCCTCGTTGCCCGCCGCTGTCTGTCGCATTATCCAGTCTATCGAAACGAGTCAGGAAAATCATTGGAGATTGTAGGCGGCCAGCTTGTCCTACAGCCGTCTTCACTTCGTCGAAGGATTCGGTGATTTTCCGATTGTGGATTACTTGGCATGCAGCATTGTCGTACAACCGTTGGATGAGATGTATAATTGTCGGCGGCACCCCGTAGTAGCGAAGTAGTTTCCAAATCACCTCTCGATCGACGCTGTCGAAGGCCTTTTCAAAGTCGATGAAGTTGAGATAGAGAGGTGGCTGCCATTCCAAGCTTTGTTCAATCAGGATCCGTAGTGTGGCGATTCGATCAATACATGACTTGTTTCTCCTGAATCCAGCCTGTTCCGGTCGAAGTTTTTCATCCAGGGCTTGTTCAATTCCCTCCAGGATGTTGTGGCTTAGAATTTTGCTTGGGATGGACAGGAGCATAATGCTCGCCAGTTCTTGCTGCTAATCTTAGTTGTTTTTTTTTATGGTTTTTCATGTATTTCTGAATAAATTCTGGTGGGTAGGTAGTGATTCACTAGTAATACTTCCTTTAGTTATTTGGTTTCATTAGTGAAATCTTCTAGCCTAATTGTTAGGCTCTTGGTCAAATTATACACACATTTAACTAAACCTATCCTTATCGATTCTGGATGGGATGAATTAAAGTCTAAGTGTTTATCAGGGTGTGTCGGTTTCCCATAAATGCTAGCTAGTATCTCTCTAACGCACCGTCTTGCTTTCGTTTCATTCTACGGTCAAGCATGCCCAACTCACTTTGTTGTTCGGTTTCTAACTCAGAAGTGATTTGGATTCCATCTTCTATTAAGTTTATATCTGTGAAAAATTGAGAGATATGTTCAGATTTCAATTTCAATGTAGATGAATATCTCCACAACCACTAAAAAAATACTTAGAAGCTCAAACATGAACCCCTGTATTCTGACTGGAACACAAAAAGGGAATGAAAAGCAAACCTACTGCTGTTTGATTAATATGAATAGCTGAAGATTACTCGCGTCAAATAATTTTTCCTCAAAAACTTTAAGCATAAAATAAACTTTTAAAACAAGTAAACTGTAAGTACTTTTTGTTTTGTATGAATAGTCATTGGTTTGAATGTCACATGTGATTAATATAAAAAGTACTTTTGATATATATATATATATATATATATATAAGTGGGTTATCTTTGGTGATTCACTATTCATTCATTCATTCACTAATTTATTGATTATCGTTATGCATAAACAACAGAACAGAGATCCTAAACATCATCTTCTACAAGGCTTTCATTCTCTAGTACGTGATGAAACAATCTTAGCGGCTGACAATTGTTTATTATTAGACACCTCGTTGAATGAAGCCATTGAACAACTTGACCAACTGTTTGATAATAAAGCAAAAATTGATTTTTTACTGAATGAAGGTGAATTTCTCCCGGAAGAAATGAATTCATACGCACATTGGACAGTTGAATGGTTTCAAAAACATTTAGAGATTTTAAATGAATTCGGTCAAATACTTGTGAAAAAGAGTAGAACATCAACAGTACATATGACAATTGAAGATATTCTACCTGTGACACGTTTATGGAATGGTTATTTACAGGACTATCTGCCAATGTATCCGACTAGTGATTATGATGTAGATGGCGACGAAGATGGTGACGTCGATCGAAAGTCTTTCACAAGGAAACATTTCTATTGGGATATGTATATTGTATTCAGAAAACCGAATCAATATCAAATTAGACCATATTATATGCCATTAAATGATTATCCCGTTACCTATATACCTAACTATTTCTACATAACTATTCCACCAGTTAACAACAACGCTATTACTAATGAAAAAACTGGATTGCCATCAAGTGAAGTCTCCTCTGAAACAGCAACAGCAGCAGCAGCAACAACAACGGTACCAACAGCGAAAAGACAAGATGTCATTGATCCGTATGAATTGTTTAGATGCAGTGAAAATTTCAATTTTCAAAATCAACCTGATCGTTGGAATTATATTTCATCGGAAAAAATTTCTCAATCATTATTTTCAACTTTACTACCTGAAGTGTTAAATCTATCAGCATGTGTAGAACCAGGACAAACTGGATTAAAGGTAATCAGCTGGAAATGTTTATTTGATGAGGATAATGTAGAGAAGGCTAGTCAAGTTGGATTTTTCCCTGTTGAGGTGAGTTCGATAATCGTACCCCGCTGTTTTGGTTTTTTCTCAAGTCTTCTCTCATGGTGAAATCTTCTTGAAATGTTAGATATGAGAATTTAATTGGTGGATGGTGACTAGCAGTGGAATCCATCGGGATGCGCATTTCGTCCTATTTGGGACTCGTCATCCAGTGGATGTACCCGCGTTCCCCAGTGAGTCAGTGATGATGTTCCCACCGAGGCTCAAACCCAGTGCCCGTGGTTTCAAACGCCAAAACTTTATCCACTAGGCCACTTGGGCCATGAGAGCCACCACTTCTTGTGCAACGGGTCATATTAATTATTTAATTCAGTTTTAGATTTTCCCGTCAACTGACTAGACCGAAGTGCAGGTACATCCAGCTGGCGGACAAGTCCCAAATAGGACGAAATGCGCGTCCTGGTGGATTCCACTGCTAGTCACCATCCACCAGTTAACTTCTAATTACATGCCCAGACATCGTCGAAGCATCTGCACAAAGAGCCGCCGACATGTCAACCTGAGACCGAGCACTTCGGTCCAATCAATCGACAGGAAAATCTAAAATTCAATTAAATAAATAGATATGAGGTGTAATAAGTAGTCACAGTATCTTAGGTTATCTGCTTCACTCTGGCCATTTTTTAATGAGCATATGTGTTCTTCTAGGAGTATTCGTTAACAAGAGATAATTACTCGTGGTAAAATGTCTCATGAAAGGCATTAATCACAATATTACTCACGTTTTAGTATACGCTGAAGACTTATGAGTGCATGTTTCTTGGTTTATTACGTTGCATACAAATGAATGACAAATACTTGAAGCTTAGATGGACGAAGACATCGTTCATCTAATCAGGATTAAATTATCCATCAATCAAGGATCAACATAGTGACTTGATTCAAAAAGAGAAAATAATTCAATGAATCCTGAGTGAAAGATAGAGCGTCAAACGTCACATTCTCATTGCATTCGATTCTTTGGCATCACTTTCATCTGGCCGCAAGCATGATCTTTTTCATGTCACCCTGAGACACCCAACTGGTTGCTTTACATACTGGTGGTGGTGCCACTCGAACAATCTTTTGAAAATTTTGATACATTTGAGAAGAAACCAGTCCTCCTAAAGTTTGAATTCAAAAGTGATAAAGTATCTAGAAGAATAAATTGGTCATTGAGATGATCTAAACCGACCAAGAGCCTGTTTATTGTTCAACAAGTATTCCAAAGACAATGGAGGTGGATTGGGTATACGCTGAGGAGACTGTTGAATGATATCACACGTCAGGCCATAGCTTGAGTGGGACGTGAATGGGAGACAACGAGTGAGTCGTCCAAGAGTAACATGGAGGACATCGTGCGAGGCGAAGATGAGAGATTTTGAACAGCCGTGGGGTCGGCCAGCTAAAGAGGACAGCAGAAAATTGAACAAAGTGCATATGTGTTGTTGAAGCCCTACGTTCCCCTTGGAACCCAAGGGAACCACAATAACAATAATAATGTGATAATCTAAGGTTGAAAAGTCCCCAATTCATGTTATCTCAAACTGTATATACCGATTTATTTTCAATTAGAAGTTAGTCTCAGTCCTCTAAGTATCACCTAAGCCACATCAATTAGACGGTGAAAAGACAACTTCCGCATTCAGTAGGAAATGGTGGTCATTCTTTCCATACCAAGGTGAGAAACTTTTAATTTTATATTTTTAAAAAATTTACTTCAATTTCTTTACTTCAGTTATTTTTGATAATGTCACTGCGTAGGCCATATTGCTATTATTGTTACTACTATTATTCGTCTTCATCCATGACATTGACGTGAATATTTGACCTCTAATTGATTTGTAACCACTTTGATCACTTCAAATCAATAAAACTTTCAACTCTTTATTAATGTATACTAATTATTTTTAATTTTTATTTTGCCTTGATCGAAAGCAGACATATGGACTGACACATCGGCTTCCTGAAGGTTTTCACCAGTCCACTTCAATGTGTCTTTCTAATTTTAGTAAAGAATTAGTTCATTTTTTATATTTTCTCTGTTCTTTGAAGTTTCTTTAGCTATTAGCTGGATTTTTTAGTGTAGGGTTGCTAGCGACACTCCCAGGCTTCCCTCTATTTCCAGGCTTAGGACCGGTTAGTAAACTAGGGCAGTGTCAAAGTCAGGATTGGAAAGGTAAGATAAACGTTCGTTATTTTGAAATTAGTCTGATAGTCTACTGCAGTAAGCGTGGAGATTACGATTCAGTTTTTCAATGCTAACGTCAGGTCACTTCTCCTATATGGTTCAGAGATTTCGCAGACGTGTCACCGAAGGCATTTCCAATAGCCTCTTGACTCTTATCAAAAGTTGTCTTTGCTCTACAGTGAAGATCAGATGGCTAGAAAAAATTGGTGACAGCGACTTCTGGCCAGACAGATGTGTCTAAGGGAATAGAGATGGTTTGAACACATGCTAGGGTGGCCATGAAATGACATCGGGCGCCAGCAAGGCCCCAGCGTGGAACCCAAATGGGGAACGACTGGCTGAAAGTCAAAGAGTCCCACAGAGAAGATCGTGTGAGGAGGAGATGATAGCTTATAGATAATCGTGAAGCCAGCTAAGTTAGACAGCAAAGGATATAGTGTAATAGAGATGTGCTGTTGAAGCCCCATGCCCCAGCAATTCAAGAAATTCGCTAAGGTTTTCGTTATGGATCACCTGCGGTGTGGTATTATCATACATTCATTGAGTGAGGTTGATCAAGATTTGGGGTACTTCACGCCGTGGTGTCGAAGTAGTTCCCGAATTACTTCTCTGTCAGCGTTGTCGAAGGCCTTTTTGAAGTCTGTGAAGTTGAGGGAGAGACTTGGCTGCCATTTTATGCCTTGTTCTGTGATGACTATGCGTAGGGTTGCGATTTGATCAGCACATGATTCGCATTTCCTGAATCCAGCTTTTCCCGGCCGGTGGAGTTCTGCATCCAGTGCATCTTTTATTCTCTCCAGGATGACGCGACTTAGTATCTTACCGGGTGTGGACAAGAGCATGATTACACGCCAGTTCTTGCAACCTGAAGGTCCTGGGTTCGAACCACGTTGGGTGAGTACTGCTAAAGAGTCCTAAACTAGGCTGACGAAACAGCTGGCCGTCCAGTAATTCCAGGTGGTTTTCCAGTGGTTCTCTATCTGATGCCAGTTAACTCATGATGGAATCCTCCTAATTCACGAAATATCTGCATCGGAACGGGTTTATCTTCATAGAAAAAAGATGTGTCAGATAGACAGTGGCAATACAAAAGTCAGATACTACTCAGAATTTCAAAAGTGACTACAGATTTTCTGCCAGCATTATGTACTTTATTGGTGAGATTAATCTAGACAGGTCTTAGATTGTCAGACTAATATTCATGTAATTTGCAATGACTGAAAGTCAGAAAAAGCAGTCTAGATTGATCACAGATTCAGATTACCAATCTTTAAACTATCAGCCTGGCTCTCTCTCAAGTCAACTATATAATTCCCCTACAATAAGATGGTGATCTGATTAGACGATTAGTCTCGACTTGTGGCTAGTTGAACGCCGACGCTAATCTTTCACCCTCAAAATCACCCACTACATGTGTAGGTGGATTATAAATTAATTACACTGAGAGGCTACTCTTATTTCAACGAATCTGTAATTCATTCTCACCTTAAATATTCTATTTGTACTTTTATTCAGTAGTTTACTTATAGTTTACTACTGATACTGTGTAAATAGACGTGTCTGTGAGTGGATAGACTACTTAAAATGAATTACAGTAGTTTATTTTTATTTCGGTAAATTTGAGTGAAAATAATGATCAGTCAGTTTAATGTTTATTACAGGAGTTTAAAACTTCCGAGTTCCCGGTTTCAGCATACACTGATACAGATCTGAGTAGTGAGGATAACTGAAGATGGTTTACTCAAGGGACTATGACTTATGCAGCAGTCCAAGAAAATGAAGCTGGAAAAATTTCGAAGTAATATTTACATCATTTCATACATTTGGTTCCATTGGTAAATTTCGATAAAGAAATGAAGACAAAATTTACAGTCACTCTGTCACTCTATTTCACAGGTTCTCCTTAGCTGCCATTGACTGCCTGAAAATACAATAATTATATATATGATAATAACATACTTTAATGTTTAAGTGGTAGTAGAGAAGAAGGAAATACTATAAAATTGACGCATCCAAAATGAAAGCAGCGTTACAATTTTAATTTTAGTTTAAGTTTTCATCATCAGTTTATACGCTTTCAAAGTAGAAAAGAGGGCGAAGAGGTTCAAGAAATCACCTCCAACTGCGTTTATGAATTTACGTGCACTTGCAGGAGCAAGTACACTGGAAGGACGGAAAGAAGGGCTTCTATCCGGTTTTTATGAACATATTATAAAAACTTGTGCCTGAAAACAAACAAATATTCTCAGAGTGCAATTACCAGACATTGTTGATACTGGTCATCCCGTAGAGATTTCGAAATCCTTTGAAATATTAAACGGACAAAAGATAGGAAATTTACTACGATTTGCTGAAGCGATCGCAATCAAACGATTCAAACCAGACTTATACATTCAGAAAGAGAGAGTGATTAATCTCTCACTCCCTTGGTAACTGAATTTTGATTTTGATTACATTAACTAGTCATCTAATTGAGTCATCTCAACTCACTGAGCAAATCTCAGTCTTATAAACTGTAACCGCTTTTCTTTTTTGAGTTGCAATGTGGGCCTACAAGCTAACACTGTTTTGTTAATTTTTTCTGTTTTCTGTCTTACTCCTCCCCCCTCTTTTCAACTTTGAAAGCGTACAAATTGATGATGAAAACTTAAACTAAAAATAAAATTGTAGTGCTTACATTTTGGATGCGTTAATTTTAAAGTATTTCTTCTCTACCACCACTTAAATATTAAAGTATGTTATTGTCATCTATATAACCATTGTAATTTCAGGTAGTCTTCAGCTGATGAGAACCTGTGAAATAGAATGATGACATCATTTTATACTGCAAATTTCGTCTTCCTTTCTCTTTCGAAATTTACATCATTATATGGGTCTGTTATCAGAAATAATATGTCCACTAAATCAAGTTCTTCATCTATTTCTGATATATTTGAAGTTGTCCGTTGGTGTAATGAAGATTTCCCCCATAGTTCATGTTTATAAGAAGAACTGATTTTCTTCCATCAGAGAGGATTCATATTGTTTAGAATAATTAGGCGAGAGAGATAGTGAGTAGGAAGAGAGTAATCGCGGTGAGGCTGTCTATGCTGAGCAGGAGGCGAAACAACCAAGAGGTCACAGCTGAACAGATAAGTGGAAAGAAATGGAGGTAGGTTGGATATACAAATGGCATCATATACCAGGCTTTCAAGTGAGATTCTTATGAAAGGTGACACATTTAAAGTTCCAATGTGACATCAATGAGATAATATGAGGAAGAAATGGAGGCCTTTTGGAAACCGTCAAGCCGGTTGAAAGTATTAACAGAGAACCGAGTGCAATAAGGCTGTGCCAGTTAGACTATATGTTCCACTGAGAACACAAGGAATGAATCATAATAATAATGATAGTAATAATTGCTGGTCATGAATACATAGATATTGTTTTGTCTACTACTCTTTATCAACTCCTTATTGAACTCCGGACTCACATTATGCCAAGCATTATTATTATTATTATCATTGTTTCCTTTAGTTTCCAAAGGAACATATGGTTTCAGCCACACGTCTCCATTGCGTTTGGTTCTCTGCTAACGTTTTCACCTCGCTCCACGTCTGCCCACATGATTTCATCTCCCCTTCACTTGACCTCCTCCATGTCACCCTTGGACGACCAACTTCCGCCTCCCATCCGGCCGGGTTCCGCTCGAGCGATGGTCCGGTATGTGGTGTCACTTGATGGTTTTCTTAGAGTATGACCAATCCAATCCACCTGCATTTCTTCCTGCGTATTTGTTGCGCAATTGGTTCCTGCTGGGTTGGTTCATTCCCAGAGATGCCTCCCCATTGGTGATCTTTTCTGGCCATATTTGAAGCATAAGTCCTATTATATGTCTTTACGGCTTCAAAACAGGAAGAAGAAATTGTAATTTGTACGACGTTTTTACCAACAATTGATAAGGTGTGTCACTTTCAAATGAAGGATAATAAACTAAGAAGCTATTGTAGCACTAAGACCACAGTATGCGAAATTGAATTTGACTCACTGTCTAAGGTTTAGCTGTCTAGAAAGATTAGTGACAGTGCCAAGCCGATGACAGATGTGGCAACGCTGACCACTGTTAGATAGCATGAGTCAGTCAGTAAGATACCCTCTGTTGACATTCAATAGACTCGTAAACTCGTAAAAACAAACCTAATCCTTACAAACCAACTCTTGAAGGTACTTTATTTTAACCACTTATTTGCGTTCTTGAAGGACAATTTGTAGTTTTATGCATTCTGCTATGGCTTTCAACCTACCGCTTTGACCGTTTTCAAGAAATAATTACTTTGAAGGTTGTAGCCTTTTGCGGACAGAGAGAAATTCTGTCGAATGATGTACTGTAGATTACTATTAAACTTGAAGATCCTTTTTATAAGGGGAAGAAAACACCAAGCTGAAAATTCTGAACTGTATATAAACGTCTTGTTAAAAATAAAGTTGCTATTAATACTATTATTCAGCCATCACCCAGTACATCTTTAGTAATCTACTTATCCAAAACTGTTCGGGTAATCTCACCACCCGCCTTGTCCAATAGTAGGATACTCATAAACTCTGAATGTGATCTGCGTTAGATTCCCGGCTAATGCACTCCTAAAATGTCTAACCGCTAGTAAGCCCGGGAAAGACTGATTGTTCATCACGAGGTTAGCATCCCTACCGCATGGGAAACAACAAAGTTCAAAGTTCACAGCCTGAAGCTCTTTTTTTCTACTCGGAAGTCAAAGGAATGAGAAAGATATCCCGTTATCCATCCGGTTCACTTCCAGGAATAAATTTTCTATCCTTATTTTAAAATAACCGCCTAAAAATTTCAAGTTATCAATGTTGTTTCGTTCTCTTCTTTTTTCTTATTCTATATTTAACCAAATATTAGGTTGTTTTCGATACAAACAGTCTGGGCAGTAATCATTTCTACTATTCCCCTGAATTATGGAAAAGTCAACAAACTTTACGTGGTGGTGGTGGTGGTATTGTGACGCGCAGAATACAAATTTCTAAAAGTGTACATACTTTAACAACACCAAGCATTGATATGAAATCAGAAAAAACTGGTACTCTATCCACCACGTTGTCCTCAAATTTGCTAACAATGAGAATACGTTTTCATCCAGTCTATTCTCTGAATGATTTAATGTCGAGTCAGACGAAGACGACGTCGACGATGACATCAACATCATCATCAACAGCAAACAATCGTTACGCATCCGCATATTTAAAGCACAATTTTTTAAAATGTCTTAACACGTTTGATATAAAACAAAATAATTTCCCGCCTAATCTTCCATTATGGAAAGTATGTAGTTGCCTAACAGAAGAATGTATCCTGGAGAGAATTGATAAAGCTGATCATGGAATACGTCGTAAAGCGGTAAGAATTCTAGCCAATCTTTATAAAATGAATGATCTCCAGAAAGGTACACAATTGATGAGCATATTCACTCTGAGAAATATGATTCAAATTTGTTTACAGACATTCCTCGAGGAAATAAATCAAACAGTTCAATATCAGTATGAGAATTTATTTCAGAGTCCATCGAAGGTTGTTGTTGAACCATGGCAAAAATTATCGCTGCCTAGAGTTATTTACCAGTTATTATCAAAGTGTTTAGCTGTCTTGCATGAAAAACAATTGGCTTCATTTACTAGTCCAGAAAGTGATATTTTAAATGTGGATAGCATTTTAACAAAACAAAGCATGAATCAGTTATATTGTACATTGAATTCATGGCTTCGTAGTCCATTAGAATTAAAGAAATTTATATTGACTTTGAATGAAAATCTATCAGAATCTATAGAAAAATTTCAAATGTTATCTATCTCTAGAGAAACAAATTCTTTAAAGTGAAATGTGTTTTTACACATCTTGTTCAGTTTTTACGAAATATATATATATACATACTGAGCTACTTTATTTTAAGTGGATTCATACTGTGTTTTGTACTTCAAACTTGTAATTATTAGAGGGGAGTTTCTTTGTCATCCCACTGCGTTCCATATGGAGTACAGGACATGTCACTAATTGACAGAAGTTAGGCATTACAAGCCGGACGATAACATGGTTCTTTAGCAGTTTTACGGGCATTGAGTTCAACATTATGGTATGTACGTCTTCGAGTTTGTGTCGCGTTAGACGTAAATTTTATCCACGAATTGTAGATCTTCCATTGTCAGTCCAACGTATGCCCGCCATCTCACTCCCAATGGTCAGTTGGTTGCATAGTTCAGTCTTGTCCTACTCCTGTCTTAACTTCAAATGCTTCGTCAAGCTTTCAGTTGCCAACCCATTGGCATATCGCTTCATAATATAGCTGTTGAATGGGGATGGTAAAGTAGTGTCACAATGCTTGATGTTCAAGCTGCCGCAGAATCACTTCACAGTAGACGCTGTCGACGGTGAGACAGAGAGTTGACCGCCCTTCTACGCTCTGTTCAATGATGACGATGATGAGTAGTGTTTGAATTTGATTCATACATGACTTGTTTTTCTTTAATCTAACATGCATCCGGCACAGTTTTACGTCCAGAGCATCTTTTAATCTCTCTGGTATGATGTGATTTAATCTTTTGCTTGGAACTGACATGAACATGATTACACATCAGCTGTTACATGGGCTTAAATCATCCTTCTTTGGAAGTTTGATAAGGTAGCCCTTCTTGCAATCAGTAGATATCTTTCCTTCCCTCCTTCCCTCCTTTCTAAAAAGTGGCATGGATATAACCTCTGATGTCTTTGAGTCCGTTTTCAATACTTCCGGAGGGTATTCCAGCTGGATCCACTGACTCCCAGATTCCCAGTATGCTGATGACCTTCAAGATGTCCGCTTATATTGGAAAGTTGGCATCCGGTAGTACATATCTTTTTACTGATGTTATTTCTGGTAGAGTTGCAGTTAACGGTCAATCAGCCTAATGTCTCCTCTATTTCACCTTCTCTATGAGATCTCGGTCGGTCGGTCGGTTTTCGACATAGAACTTTGCACATATGTGCGGCAGTTCAAGTCGCCACACTCCCTCCATGTAGCACACAAAGCAAGAGAAGAAAGTAGAAGAAATGCATAACAGAGACAGTAAACATAGGTGTGAGACAAAGGAATAGTAATAACCAAGAAAAATGTAGTTTCATTGGAAATCATAAGTCACAAGGAGTGGATGCATCTACGCTAGCCATTGAGAACGATTTTGAGCCATGTCACCAATTGTTTCCAACCATTGGTTTTTCCCGTCCCGAGGACCCCAACCAGTCAGGAAGTCTACACCTTCCTACGTGGCTTAGACTTACTGTTGTAGATTTCATTGACTGGTGCCATGTTTTGGTTTGACCACCGCTAGCTCTTTTCCAGCCTGGCCCTATATCATCTAACATTGCCGGCGAGGAAGGCGATGACTAGGCATGCATGAGTAACACATGTCCTAACCATCTCAGTCGATGTCATTTCACAGTCTCGTCTATTGATTTCTCCGCCTTACCTAGCACTCGACGCCTAACCTCAATATTGCTCACCTTATTATACCACTTCACACGGGAGTTAGAACGCAGACACCTATGATCGAACACAGATAATCTTTTCATGTCTTCCTCTCTCAATGGCCAGGTCTCACTGCCATATAGGAGGACGGAGCGGACTGTTGAGCAGTACACACGCCCTTTGGTCGATAGTCGGATATCACGTCTACGCCGGAGACGGCGTAAACTGGCATATGCGAACCTAGCCCTCTGTATTCGTGCTGAGATTTCGTCAGAGATGATACTTCCCAAGTAAGTGAAGCGGTCAATGTGCTCTACCACTTCACTTCCTATTTCTAATCTAGGGGTCGGTGAAGTCCAATCCCGCAGCATCATCTTACATTTTACAGGGGCGAATCGCATGCCAAACATACGAAGATTGTTGCTCAAAGTGTTCAGTAGACTCTGCATTTTGTCAGTGTCCTCTCCTAGATCTACTCACCGATCAATCACTACATAATAAGTGCCACATGGTATGTAAAAGACGTATCCATCTCAATCTAGGTGACTTTGTCAACAACATCTTTACTAACTAAACGAATACCAAATATCAACCATTTAGTCTGAAACTTATTACTGAATATATCACAAACAGTCTTTAGTGGTGTTATATTGGTTATATAAGTGTAGAATCTTCAACAGAAATAATTCATATATAAAAATATACATACTTACTCGATTAATAAGTTTCAAGGAGGCATAAACTAGGTCGCGAACAAAATGAATTAAATATGCGCTTCATATACCATTTCTTTCATGAATATCGGCACATATATATATCTGTATATGTTTTGAATAGTGATTTATGACAGTAGTTAAAATGGCATTAAATTAGAATTCAATTTGTTTAAATGGATTAATTAACAGATTGTTATGAGGAGTAATTTTCAAATTGAAATTCTGCGTGATGAATGAGGTATGACTGATTAGAATTTAATTACAACCTTGAAGCAACTCATGCACCTTTTGAGATTTGAACCCGCGTCACCCAGTGATGCAGTCAAAGACGTTGCCATTGAGCTATTCGGGCTCGCGATTTACCTCCTGTGGTAACGTCTCTGACTGTATCACTGGGTGACGCGGGTTCAAATCTCAGAAGGGGTATGAATTGCTTCAAGGTTGCAGATACACCTTTCTGACGAGTGCCAACTGGCACGAAACGTAGGTTCAAGAATTCCTGTCGATTGCCTCCAACCATCTAATATCATCAAATCAGTGTGCACCGTGATGGTGGGCTACCTAGAATGCTGGCCACATTGCAAACCTGACTGACAGAATTCAGTCTACACAAAAGTAAGGCCTACTTACTAGTTACTAGGGTCCCATCAAAATATGGCACTGATACGTTTTTTAACAATAATTAATCAATATCAACCTGTCACGGGGTTTGATAATAACCAAGATAAGTAATTCAAACAATTAAAGTTTAGAAATGATCAAAACAATGATAATACGTAATAAAGAAGTAATTAGAAAAATAATAAAATAATTTGAGCAGTTATAATTTTTAAAGGTTAAGGGGAGAAATAGTAACACAGTGACTGAAGAATGCAGTTAAAAGAGCTTTTAGTGCAGCAGAGGTAAATTGTCTCTTCCCTGCCACCCTTATTTTACGTTCGGAAAATAAGGATGAACTACCACCTAATTTCGCTTCCTCTTTGTATCTACCAGTTTGACTGCAGCTGCGGAGCCAGCTACTTTGAGTGTACAGTTAAGTAGGTTTATCATCATATTTCCGAACATCATTCAGCATGGTTAAACAGCAAGGGACAAACAAGATCTATTCGTAGGTCTATTTTAGCAGACCTTGTAGATAATGAGTATAAGGCTGAGGTTATTACAGCATTTACAAGTATTTATCACATTCTTAATAATGTTAATTTTGCTTTACGAGTTCCTCTTCTACATACAACAGCTGAAGCAATAGGAATCCACCTGAAGAACAAGCCAAACATGTGAATTCAGAAATTTGTACAACCACTTTCCTTATCTTCGCCATCTTTACATCAGTATATAAACCGGATTACCCTATTCAGGTAGGTAGTTACCTGGGGTTCTAGTGAGAAGTCATGACCAGTAGGGTGCAGAAGGTCGGGTGTGAGGACAAATACTCACCGAAGACATTGGCTAGGGGTCGCGCTTTGTCGTGAATTGGCAGAAGTTAGGATTCATGGACTGTCCATTGGATCGGGTCCCAGTGGCTTAATGGTATGCGAGCTCACCTTGTAACTAAAAAGTCCTGGGTTCAAATCCCGGTGGGTGCGTACTGCTGAAGAGTCCCAAACTAGGACGAAACAGCCGGCTGTCCAGTACTCCCACGTTTTCCAATGGTTCTCTAACTAATGTCAGCTCATGATTAAAATCCTATAAACCGGATTATTTCACCCCCCGAAACTTTAAAAATTATAATTGTTCAAATTATTTTATTATTTTTCCAACTACTTCACCTTTAATTACATACTATCATTGTTTTATCTATCTTGGTTATTATCAAACCCCGTGACATGTTGAAATTGATTAATTATTGTCAACAAAGATATCAGTGCCACTTGATGATTGGTTAATTGTTGTGTATTGTAATAAAAATGCTATACATAATATATTAGAGTGGAGCCATGCTGAGATGAGGATCTTCGTTCAATCTTTATGCTTTCTAAATTGGAATTTACTCATTCAAATAACTCAGCTACTGATTATACTTCAGTTCCACGTGGAATTGCAGTTTGATCTGTAGGTCACTGTTTTGGTCGATAACTTGAGGGAATTTCACTGGGTAAAGTTTAATTTTGCACACTCAAGAGGCATAAGAGTATTTGTGGGCTTGGAGATAGAAATTATTCTACAAAGTAAATTGAGTCCCCTACCTCTAGTCTCCTCCTAACCCAACCCTTATCCATCCCTAACCGACCAAAATATCTCCCTAGTTAGGTTAAACTAACCCTAATCTATCCATTTTTTTTATTCCTTTACGTTCCCAGTGTAACATAGGGCGTCAAGCTATAGGGCTTGAAGTTTCGGTTGCAGTAGTGTTTATTTTTAAGGGATGGGGTTTGCTAGCCTCCCTCTTTACCAGTCTTATCACTAGCTTAGAGAGGTAAAGGAGTGAGTCGGTCGTTCCAGACCACCTGCGTGGTTGAGGAGAACTCTACCTCAGCACCACCGGCGGGTCCAATGAGAATACCCAGTACACATATGAAAATCAAAACGGGAAGATAGATGATGTGCATTTACTAGGAGACCGTTGACTCTTTTTCTTAGTTTAGGGTATGCACACTTTACCCAGGCTAATTTAGCACTTTAAGTATAACTGAAACAAGAACTGATATCAAACGAAACACTAT